TTTTTTTGGAGACTGGACTTTTGGCTAGTGATAATGCTAAGAAGACCTAGTTGTTGTCAAGGTTCTTTATTGGCAGAGGCAAGACTGTACCAAGAAGAGGTAGTTGTTAATATAGGTTAAGTATCCCTTACCTGAAACACTTGAAACCAGAGGACTTTAGGATTGTTTTTGATTTTGGAATATTTGCATACACATAGAAATATTTCAGGGATAGAATTCAAGTTTAGACATGGAATTTATGTTTTACATACTCCTTATATACATATCCTGAAGGTAATTTTAGGCAATATTTTTAGCACTTCTACATTTTAACTGCAGCTTATCATGAGGTCAAGAGTGGAACTTTTCTCTTTTGGCATCTTATCTGCACTCAAAAGATTTCTAATTTTGTAATTTTATAGATTTTGGATTAGGTATGCTCAATCTGTACTTGGCACTGGCCTCTTCCAAAGTAGTATTAAACAATACCTCATAGGACTTGGTTCTCAGTTTCTGTTTATTATTATTATTTAAAAAGAAATGGTATAGTTTACAGGTTTGTATAGTCATAACAAAAATTTAAAAGAAGATTGTCAAAGATGGAATAAAAACAATAGATGGGGTAAGATAGCTACAAAATGAAGGAAGTCATCTTAAATATAAACATAACAAAAGAAAAAGAGAAGATAAAGGAATCAGTTGTAAACGATAGGTGTGAGCAACATAGAGTTGTCTTATTTTTCAGAAAGCCTTATGATATTTAAAGTTTTAATTGTTTTTTTAAATTTAAAATATTTAGTATGATTTTTTGATTAACTATGTGTTCTTTTGATTTTTATATTTAAAAGTGAACACAAAATACCTGAAAACTTTTAAAAAGATAAAAAAGAAAAACATGTTGTAAAGGAACAATAAAGATGTTATGCTATCTTAAAGGAGAAAACATGGATGAAGTCCCCTTCTCTAAGTGAAGAATAAGGATGGCTTAAAGTTCTACCATTTATTATCTGTCTCCTAAGAGGATCAAAGAAGAAGAAATAACTTAAATCACACTAAGTACTTTAATTTTATAATAGCAAGATTCCTTTAACTGTGAAAGTGATTAATCATTGCAACAAGGTCCCAAGAACTGTTGGGAACTCTCTGAGACCTTCCAAATGGACTTGATAGGTCATTTTTTAAAAAAACCTTTGTTCTGTTTATTTGCTTTTTTGCTTGCTTGTTTGTTTATTATTTATTTATTTATTTATTTATGGTATTGAGGATCAAACCCATGCCTCACACATGCTAGGCAAGTGCTCTACCATTGAGCCACAACCCCAGCCCTTGACAGTCATTCTTGTCGTCTAATTGTTGGCAATAGATCCTCCCAAAAAGTGTGTATTCAGACACATCTTGTTTTGGATTATTGTTCAGTAACAAGTAGTTGTGATTAGATAGAAAGTATTCTAATTTATTCCATCTCAACATAATTTTTATCATTTAAAATACTCTGTGGTATCCTGCCTTTTTTCTTTTTCTTTTTTGCTAGACTCTCAGACATACCAGTCAGTCCAAACTCTGGGAACAAGGTTAGAAAGCACAGTGTTGCTTTGAAGATTGAAGCAACAGAGGTAACTTTTGGAAGCTAAAAATCTAAATGCTAGGAGGTTCAGTTTAGAGAGATTTATATTTGTAGTGTTGACTGTATGATTATTTCTGATGTTAAAATTCAGGTTGTGTGTGTGTGTGTCTGTAAAAGAAACACACACACACACACACACATGCACAGTGTTAGGGTTCATACCATATTGTTTTTACTTGTTCATTTGCAGGTCTGTCTTTCTAGTAAACTGTTCTCCTTGGAAGTAGGAAAAGAATCTTTTTAGTGACTCTTGTTCTTAATTTTGTGTCTTTTCACATAATAGGTGCACATTAATTGTTAAATCGGAATATAAGTTTCTGATAATACCCAAAACCTGTGAACGTCTTTCTTTGAGTTGCCAGTTTTCTTTAAAGCCATATTTAACTCTTCAGCCAAATGTACTCAGATATCAAGTCATTTTCTTTATTCTTAATCTTATTTTGGAGTTCTGTGTTTATCTTTAACTCAAAATTTAAAGTGTCAAGATAAAAAGAATTATACTGCACAGGAGAAATGTTTTTTAAGGAAGAAAGCCATAAAATTCAAAGATGATCATTATAACTCTGAGTTATGATACAGTTTTTTTTAAAACAGTAGAAATTTGCTTATTTTTTCTAATTATTTATACATGACAGTAGAATGCATTTTGAAACATTGTATACAAATGGAGCACAACTTCTCATTCCTCTTGCTATATGTGGTGCAATCACACCAGTAGTGTAATCATATCATGTATATAGGGTAATAATGTCTGTCTTATTTCACTATCTTTCCAATCCCCACAGCTCTTCCCCTATCCACTCCTCTTACTCCCCTCTGCACAATCCAAAGTTCCTTCATTCTTCCCTTTGCCACCTACCAACTATGGATCAGCATCCACTGGTCAGATAAAATATTTGGCCATTGGTTTTTTAGGGATTGGCTTATTTCACTTAGCATGATATTCACTAGTTCCATCCCTTTACCTGCAAATACTATACTTTCATTCTTATTTAAGGCTAATATTTCACTGTGTATATGTACCATATTTTCTTTATACATTTACCTGTTGAGGGGCATCTAGGTTGGTTCCATGGTTTAGCTATTGTGAATTGAGCTGCTATAAACATTGATGTGGCTGTGTCACTATGGTATGCTGATTTTAAGTACTTTGGGTGTAAATCAAGGAGTGGGCAGCTGGGTTAAATGGTGGTTCCATTTCAAATTTTCTGAGGAATCTCCATACTGCTTTCCAGAGTGGTTGTACCAGTTTGATCCACTTTGAATTGATTTTTGTGCAGAGTGAGAGAGAGGTTTAATTTCATTTTGCTACCTATGGATTTCTAGTTTTCCCAGCACCATTTGTTGAATAGGCTATCTGTTCTCCAATGTATGTTTTTGGTGCCTTTGTCTAGTATGAGATAACCGTATTTATGTGGGTTTGTCTCTGTTTTCTATTTTGTACCATTAGTCTACATGTCTGTTTCGGTGCAATATCATACTGTTTTTGTTACTATTACTTTGTAGTATAGTTTAAGATCTAATACTGTTTTACCCTTCTTGCTAAGGATTGCTTTGGCTATTCTGAGACTCTTAAATTTTTTTTTTTTTTTTTGTACCAGGGATTGAACTCAGGGGCACTCAACCACTGAGCCACATACCAGCTCTATTTTGTATTTTATTTAGAGACAGGGTCTCACTGAGTTGCTAAGCACCTTGATTTTGCTGAGTCTGTCTTTGAACTCGAGATTCTCCTGTCTCAGCCTCCTGAGCCACTGGGATTACAGGCGTGTGCCGCCATTCGCAGCTTTGGGTCTCTTAATTTTCCAAATAAATTTTATGATTGCTTGTTCTAGATCTGAGAAGAATATCATTGGGATTTTAATAGGAATTACATTAAATAAGTTTTGGTAAAATGGCCATTTTGACAATATTAATTCTGTTTATCTAAGAGCATGGGAGATCTTTCCATCTCTAAGATCTTCCTGAATTCTTTCTTTAGTATTCTATAGCTTTCATTGTAGAGGTCTTTTACCTCTTTTGTTAGGCTGGTTCCCAAGTGTTTTTTTTTTTTTTTTAAGGCTAATTTCCTAATTTTTCTTGCAGTGGATTTATCATTTATGTATAAAAATGCATTTGATTTATAGGTATTGATTTTATATCCTGCTACTAGCAGAATTCATTTGTTAGTTCTAGACATTTTCTGGTGGAATTTTTTGGATTTTCTAAATATAGAATCATATCATCAGCAAATGGTGATGATTGAGTTCTTTTCCTATTGTATCCCTTTAATTTCTTTCATCTGTCTGATTGCTCTGGCTAGAGTTTCCAGGACTATGTTGAAAAGAAGTAGTGAAAGAGGGCATCCCTGTCTTGTTCCAGTTTTTAGTGGCAATGCTTTCAGTTTTTCTCCATTTAGAATGATGTTGGCCTTGGGCTTAGCATAGATAGCTTTTATAATGTTGAAGTATGTTCCTACTTCCCTAGTTTTTCTAGTGTTTTGAACATGAAGGGGTACTGTATTTTGTCAAATGCTTTTACTGCATCTATTGAGATAATCATATTATTCTTGTCTTTAAGTCTATTGATTGATGTATTACGTTTATTGATTTCTGTATGTTGAACCAACCTTGCATCCCTGGCATGAACCCCACTTGATCATGGTGCACTATCTTTTTAATATATTTTTGTAGGTGATTTGCTAGAATTTAATTGAAAATATTGACATCTATGTTCATTAGGGATATTGGTCTGAAATTTTCTTTCTGTGATGTGTCTTTGTCTAGATTTGGTATCTGGGTGATACTAGCCTCACAGAATGAGTTTGGAAGGGTTCCTTCCTTTCCTGTTTCATGGAATAATTTGGTGTTAATTCTTCTTTGAAGGTCTTGTAGAACTTGCTGAGAACCCATTTAGTCCTGAGCTTTTCTTAGTTGGTAGGCTTTTGATGGCTTCTTCTATTTCTTTACTTGAAATTAATATGATACAGTTTTTCTACTATAATGTAGAATTCTACTTTGTATGAAGGAAACCTGTGTAAGAAAATTCATACATGTTTCAAAAAGTGTGTAAACAAAGAGTGAGTTTTATGTGCTCTGCTTAGTTTGAACTATGGTAAATACAGAATAGTCCACAGGCAATTGAAAAATGCACTTTATTTGGAGAAACACTGCTTAATACATGCTTATGCATAAATTAATAATATACATAGATATAAATATGAAAATATGTGCTTTATGTATGTGTTTTTATCTTTCCATTGCAGATATGAGTATCATTGGGCAGATGGAACAAATATAAAGAAACCTATCAAATGCTCTGCACCAAAGTATATTGATTACCTTATGACTTGGGTCCAGGACCAGTTGGATGATGAGACATTATTTCCATCAAAAATTGGTATAATTATTTTATGCAATCGGGATCCATCATAATTTATCTAATCTTATGTTTCTGGTATTGTCCTGACTCTTCCTACACTATCCAGTTGGACAGTTCTATAGGGCTATGTTTATTGAGTTCCCAAGAGGAGGCACAAAAGTTTGTTAACCCAGCCATAACATAAGGAAGATATCCTATGTAAATTGATTTTCTTCACCCTTTAACTTAGTGTCTTCAAATACATATTAGTTGAAAGAGGCTATGTATATCGGTTCATTTTATTTGCTAAATTTTAGTGGCACTCCAGATTAAAAAATGATTGAACTTACTTATAATCAGTGAGGGCTTTGGGGAATTGTGGTATGTGTTATTTTCTTGAGAATTATGAAGATCAAATATCCTTTCAGTAGAAAATACTAGATAAAGGCTTAATCATATTCTAGGAACCACATTAGTTTTATGTCTACCAAAATAGTTCTAATCTTGTGCATTTAAGAACACCCTTTTCACACCATGGTTGTTATGAACATTGAGGTAATATAATCCTTCCTATAATTTTCAATGATGAGAAGATGAGTAATTGAGGATAGTAACAAAATCTGATTTAAATTATAGGAAAAAAAGAAAATGGAGCTAATAATATCTATAGTAGCTATGTTTATTTGGGAGAAGAGTTTATGTTTCTGTCCAGTTTAACATTGTATTTGTGGCAAAGAGGGAGTTTCACTTTATGATGTACAAAATCTTAACAGATGTTGAAATCAAGCTGTGTGCGAAGAAAATAAGTTTTGAGGGGTTGGCTTATTATCAATTTGAGTGACTTTTGCTTTTTTATATTTGTCTTAAAGACTTTTTAAATGGAAATAGTTCACATCTAGATAGCTCATATATATTTACCTTTTCAAATGTTTTAGAACTGTTTTTCTAAAACAGTTAAGAGTTTGCTCTTCTAATATTGTTAGAACAACTTTTAGACTACATGTAAGTAGTTACTGTTCCAGAGTATTGTAAACATTTTTTGAATATGAGAATCATTTTGGAGCTTTTATAATAAAACGATTTTTAAAGGCTGCATTATTTTAATACATATTGTCACGATGATTTTGAATGATTGCCTCCATCTTATCTCTTACCTCCCATATTTTGAAAACTTTATTTAATTTTAGATATTTAGAAAAATTGCAAAAATCCTACCAACAATGGAATAAAGAATTCCTTATTCTAGATTTTTAGTTTTTAACATTTTACCACTTTTTAATTTTTTTTTTATTTTTATTTTACCTCCCTACACTACTCTGAATATATGTGAGGTCATGAAATATTTTTCTTTTTGTGTGGTTTACATTTAGCATAATGTCCTCCAAGTCCATCCATGTTGTGGATGTAAGAGGCAGGATCTCCTCCTTTGTTTAGGCTGAATAATGTTCTTGGGTATGTGTATCTCACAGTTGCTTTATCCATTCATCCATTGACAGACATTTAGGTTGTTTCCATATCTTGGCTTTTATGAATAATGATGCAGTGAACATAGGGGTGCAGATATCTTTATAATACAGTTATTTTATTTCCTTTGAGTGTGTATTCAAAAGTGAGATTACTGAGGCATATGATAATTTTATTTTTAATTTCTTTAGGAATCTTCTGTTTTCCATAATGGCTGTACCAATTTACATTTCTACTAATAGTATAAAAGGAGTGGTTCCCTTTCCTTTCCAGGGATTTTGTATTTTTCTTGTTTTGTATCTGTTTAATGCTGTAAAGTACTTTTTAACTCACAAAACAAGAAGCCTAATTAAACAGAATTTAGTTAATTTTAGAACCAATTATGGACTTGGAGTAGTAATGAAGTAATTTCTATAGAAAAAAGTATAAAATGTAAGCACTTTAAATAGAACTGAATTTGGCAAATACATTACTTGTTTTCAGCACAAAATGTATTGAGGCTTGATGTTAAGAAAATAAAAAATCTGTTTTGATGAAGTGGTGGTAATACTAGAGGCATAACAGGCTATAATGAAGATTAGTTCTTTTTCCATACATGCTGTGGAATTTATTTTTATTTATGATATGATGAGAACTTCTGAAAAATATAATGGATATGTAAAGTATTAATTCATAAATGCTGATTCTTTTTACCCTTGTTTTGGTCATTTATGTTGCCATTTACTTTGTTCTCTTACCTTTACTAGGTGTTCCATTCCCAAAGAATTTTATGTCTGTGGCAAAGACTATACTTAAACGTCTTTTTAGGGTTTATGCTCATATTTATCACCAACATTTTGATCCTGTGATCCAGCTGCAGGAGGAAGCACATCTTAATACATCTTTCAAGCACTTTATTTTTTTTGTCCAGGTGAGTTGGATTAGGAGGCCTTTACTGCTTAGTGTAATCACTTATTTTCAGAGTTCTGTGATAAATACTGCATACACACTGTCAGAATAGAATTTTCTCTATCTCACTAATCTGCATCTTTATATTTTTCATGACAATAAGGCTGGCCTTTTGTTTTTGAATTTCATTAGTATCCAAGTTCATGGCAAGTAATTCCAAAATGAATATTACATTGGATATTACATTCAATTGCCATGCCATATGGAGGAGCTGAATAAGAAACTTGACTAGTTGGGCAGAATTCATAGATGAATTTGGTCTTTTGAGCATATTGGCACGCCTTTGATTCCCTTAATCCTCCACTTTTGTTTGCCCTGGATCTTTATTAGTAGACTCTGTCTTGGAAATATATTGAATATAATATTCTTCCGTACTCCCCTTTTATGGCCATATTCTAATAATTTTTAAGTTAAGGACTGCCATGTATGGGGAACAATATGCCACAGAGAGTGTTTTTGATCTGACCTGCTAGTTGAACCCCCTTTTTGTTTAGTCCTCAAAGAACTAGACTTAGAATTATAAGTCTAAAAGCATTGAAAAAAATTTTTGTTTTTGGTTTGAGTGCTATATCCAAAGCCCTTTTTAATTTTTATTTTGAGACAGTGTCTTGCTAAGTTGCTGAGGGTCTTGCAGAGTTGCTGAGTCTGTCCTAAAACTTGTGATCCTCCTCCTCCCAAGTTGCTAGGATTATAGATGTATGTCACTGTGCTCCACTAAGAATATCCTTACCTAATTCTCTAATTAGATCAATAACAAGCAAAAGTGAAAAAGAGTTGGAAATGGAAGAGCTAACCAGCTTTATTATTTATTTTTACAGAGATTGAGAGAAGGAGGGTGGTGGTCAAAAGAAATCCAAGTTTTGTGGGAGTTTTTGATTCTTTTTTTTGAATAGTGATGGTGATTGAACCAACCCAGGGCCTTGTGCTTTCTCTGCAAGTGCTGTACCACTGAGCCACACCCCACACCCCAGCCCCCAACATTTGAATTTACGATGTTTTTATATATCTGTGGCATGTTTATAAATGCCCTTTCTACGTCCCATTTCTCTTAAAGAAAAATGTGCCCATTTTCCTCTGTATATGCTCCTCACACTGAAGACTCCATTTTATATTTCAATTTCACCTGTAAAAACACATTAAAAGATTGTAGTTTCCCAAAACTCTTGTCATGGTATACCATCTATGGAGCCAAAGAAAATGTAATTCTAAATCTATATTTTTGATTTACACAGAACATGATTGCTAAAGTTGTGGTTTAGGAGAATGTTTCTCTCTCCAGAAGGTTTAGTTTTACTTTACTCTGTAATCTTAAAGTACAGTTTCTGTTAGAGTCTGTAAACAAGTCAAGATGGCGCCTGGCATTTTGCCAGAGGGAGTGGTTTGTAAAGTAACACCAGTGAGCCATTGAGTGTGGAGATTCCTTATTGGTTGACTGCTGTATCTAGTTTATGTTAATTAAGATAAGCTGTGTGTGTGGGGCTGGGGATGTGGCTCAAGAGTTAGTGCGCTTGCCTGGCATGTGTGCGGCCCGGGTTCCATCCTCAGCACCACATACAAACAAAGATGTTGTGTGCGCCGAAAACTGAAAAATAAATATTAAAAAAAAAAAGTAAAATAAAATGTTAAAAAAAAAATAAGATAAGCTGTGTGGTATGTATATATACCCCTCCTGTCCTACAATAAACGGCTCCCACTCCTGCTGTATCAATCTACACAAGTTGCTCATCACCCCCTGGTTATTTTGCTGCAGCTGGACTGTGGCAAGTTTCTTAAATTCTAGCAAATAGTAGGGGTTCAATGTATTACATTTCTGCATCTGATCGTGCTTAACATCTTAGGACACTCTGAGTTTCTTATTAGTTACACAGTACAAGGGGAATGTCTGTCTTTGGGCCCCACAATTTAGAGAATCTTGTTTTGAGCTTTCCCCAGCTGTGGCTTTCCCCACTAAATGAGAAATCCAAAGGCCAAGAACTACCTACCTATATCCCTCTGGTATGTTCTTGGGTACCCCAGACTCTAGAATTCCCTGCCCATATGGTGCCAAATGTATTGCCAGATGACAGCTGTTTGTAAGGGTATATGAACATTAGACATATGTGCCAGCCAAGGTGTCCACTCTCATGAGTGAGGCACCTTGTAGTGCAGGTTGGAGCTGGGTATAGGAAGAGCATAGAGTTTTGTTGAGGACCAAAGACCTGGGGATGACTCTGCTCATGATTTCTAGTGTAAAATCCTAAGTCTGAATTTGCTATCCTGGTTATAGTGAAGGTACATTTGTCAAGATAGCAGGATAGAACATTTTTATTTAAGAATTTAAATTGTGCAGTGTGTATCCATTTCTGTTCCTAAACCTCAAAAATCTCACGGATGATTCTGATATTGAATGCCCCAAATGCTTCTCCAAAGTTCTAACTGTAGTGTTTTGCATTTGATGGATGCTAATGAATTGGGAATTGAGAATGCCCCACCCTGGAAAAAGATTTAGAGTATAGACAGCTTTTATTTATTAGCCTGTTTGTAGAACTGTTCAGGGGAAATCTATATAGGAGTGACTTTCAGAATGACAAGGGTGGAACTATACCATGCACATGCTTGAGCATGTGTTATACCACTGAGCAACATCCCCAGCCTAGAGGAGAAAAGCACAAATTAGGAGCTAGGAGTATAACTCAGTGGTAGATTTAGGAAGCCCTGAATTCAATCCCCAGCACTTTTAAGGGGGAAAAAAAACCAAAACAAAACAAAACAAAAAATCCCACAGCAGTAGCACTGATTAAATCCAGGTGTTCTCATTTGTCTTTTGTAGGATTTTAATCTATCATTGTATACACCACCTTATGTTGTTCACATACCATTTAATTTTAATTTTTTTTTTTTTTTTTGGTGGTGCTGGTGATTGAACCCAGGGCATTGTGCGTGGGAGGGAAGCAACTGAGCTATATCCCCAGCCCCTCACATACCATTTTTTGATAGCCTACAGATTCAAGTTTTCCTAATATGCTAAATTTTTTTGACTATATATTTTAAATGGTGCCCAGGTTATTCCTTTCAATAGGAAGGAATGTCACTTTATGCCAGATATTACATAAAAGGGTTAACATCCTTTATTACATTTATTTATTTCCCCACAATAATATCATGAGATAGGGTAATTTTTCCTAATATTATTGATGTAAAAACATAACATCAGGCCTACTAATAGTATTGATAAAAATATTATTAATGTAAAAACAACATCAGGGGCTAGAGTTGTTGCTCAGCGGTGGAGCACTTGCCTTGTATGTGTGAGACACTGCGTTCAATTCCAAGCACCACATATAAATAAGCAAATAAAATAAAGGTCCATCAACAACTAAAAAAATATTTAAAAAACAAAACAAAACATAACATCAGGCCTCTTCAATAGATGAATGGATAAAGAAACTGGGATATATACACAATGGAGCATTACTCAAAGAAGAATGAAAGTATAGCATTTGCTGGTAAATGGATGGAATTGGAACACATTATGCTAAGTGAAATAAGCCAATTGCAAAGAACCAAAGGCTGAATGTTTTCTCTGATATGTGGATGCTAATTCACAATAAGGTGGGGGGAGAATAGAAATATTTTGGACTAGACGAGGGGGAGTGGCGGGAGTAGAGGGGGTATGGGAATCAGAATGATAGAATGAATTGTACATTATTGCCCTATGTTCATATATGATTACATGATACGTATAACTCTACATCATGTACAACCAGACAAATGAGAAGGCAGAATATTTATGTATGATGTATCAAAATGCATTCTACTGTCATGTATAATTAGAATAAATAAAAATAAAATATTAAAAAAAACATAAACATCAGGTCTAAGACAGATAATGAATAGGGAAAAAAATCAAATCTATATTTCATGATAATCTGCTTTGGAATGGGATTCAAATAATATGTTTTTGCTGTTCTTTTTTTCTGCATAGGAGTTCAACCTTATTGATAGAAGAGAACTTGCTCCACTCCAAGAACTGATTGAAAAACTCACTTCGAAGGACAGATAAAAAGGATGCAGAGCTGTGGAAATTGTTCTTCAATTGAAGCTGTGTGGAGTGTATTTGGGTTTTGCTATATTTTGTTTTTTTCTGGGTTGTTTTTATCTTAGGTTTGGGGGGCTTGTTTGGGTTTCCTTTTCTTTATTACGAATATATGAAACCATATTCTACTGCTAGAGGAAACCAAGAACCATTCTCTACATTTGAAAAGGTGTGAATTTTGTCTTAGCAGCATACAGTATTATTTTTAACCTTGTTTTGGTTACTTGAAGAGTTTTTAATAATATTGTGTGCTAGAAGAAAATGCTTTCTGACTGAACTGCTAATGGTTGGGTTCTGTGTTGTGTAAATTGTGGCCCATTTTGAAGTCCCCAAAAGACATGTTTTTAAAGTGCCTTGGCAGGCCCACTTCTGAGGTGCAAAGCACAGACATAGGACTGAGCAGGGCTCAAAATAATATTAGGATTACTACCCAGGGCACTTACTGGTGCAAGTTGTAAAATAATCTATGATAAAAGCCATAGTTGACCTAAGTTGGTGATCTCCAGCTTTTACTACATTGAAGAAACATAATTTGTAAAGGTGTGCATGTAGAACATAAAAATTAGTATTTCTTAATTATTTTTGATATTGATGGTAATATATTTCTGTTCAACAAATGCTTAAAGTTCTATGAGCAGATATTTTCCATCTCTTGATATCTGTGATATTGAAACTTGAGGATTTTGAAATGTAATACCTATTGCATTTTGACTTCTTTCTACATGTTAACTGCACTGTAGGTGTAAAACTTCAGGTTATATTAGGATTGCCATCTTCAGAGGTGATGTTAAACTGTGAGGTTTCTTAGCAATTGCCAAATGAGCCATAAGTCTACAGAATCCCCTTCTGTTTCAAAGAGGAGGGGATTGAAGCGTGTTTGGTTGGGAAGGGGTTAATTTCTGTGAGGAGTTAGGGATGGAATTAAGTGGGGAGTCAAGTTCTAGAAAGTCCCATTTTAAAAATCTTTGAATAGAACAGTGTGAAGATTTTAATCAATTATTTTTAAACAGAGTCTTAGAGATTTTTTTTTTTTTAGGAATCAGCTTCCATGAGAAGTTAAAAATAAATCATTAATTTTAGGTACAGACATTAAACATTGAATTTAAGGACTTTAGGGAAATTAATCACTTTGTAGCATTTCCATTCAGTGAATGGAGCTAGTATTTGCCTATCATTTTAAAATGATATAGTACTTTTGCTTATTATAGGCCCAGATAGAAGCATTCTGACTTCTGGTTTTTCCACTGTGAAAAAAATCATTTCTTTACAGTGATATCAAACAACAAAAATGCTCATCATTCAATAGTTATTTTTAAATTTTATTTGTCATGACTTTCTAGTGAATTATTACCACCAGTAAGTTTAAAAACATAGTTTTTAGAATAAATATTAATTTGCTTCACTTCAGATTTGTTCTTGAGATTGAGAAATACCTTTTCAAACTTTGTTTTAATTTGACATATTTTGGTAAATCTGCTTCCTTCAGTTAGAACTATATACCCTTCTCTTGGTAGAAACATACCTTTTTCCTAAAATAGAAGAGAATAGAAATGCTGCTCTGGAATTGTGTAGATTACAAAGGCTTTGTGGACAAAAATCTAAAATGAAATAAATTTATTTGTTTTATTAACAAGAAGAACAGTGATACAATTTAATGCCCTTACAATTATGATCACAAGGGAACTGCCTTTTTCTCCATTTCATTTCTAGCAGTTATTCACCAAGTACCAATAGTAGAAGTAATGGAAGATCTTGGCAGGGGTAAATATATTGGACATTTATTGGTGATGCTTATTAATAAACTGCACTGAGAGCTAGCTGACTTCCTTAAAACAAATATTTCAGTGTACAAATAGACAATATGAATCATTATGGGTTGATTCAGAAATAAAATTGGGTGTCATGAGTTTTGAGTCCTATCTATGTGGGAAATGAAAGACACAATTACTCAAAACTTTTCCATATTGCATTTGACTTTTTATCATCCTATAACAAATGGGTTGCAATAGTCATGTGTGGAGAGAATAATAGAAAGTTGTTCTGAATCTTTTAAACCTTACATAGTTGTACACTGTAAAAATGGAAAAATATAACTCTAATATTTGATAGTAGTATTTACCTTTCCACAGTACGTAGATAGAAGTTTGTTTTCACTGTGCCAGAATCTCAGGTACCTGTGTCTGAGTGTTCACTTAACAAGTTATTGGGAAACAAGGAGATATGTATGTGTGTATATATGATAATGAAGTATAAAGTTCTCCCAGAGAGAAGCCTGGCATTGTACATGGTGTTAGATGGTTACAAGTAAGGAAACACCAAAGCCAGTAAGAAAGAACTGATTCTATTAAAAAGTTACTTTGACTTGTTGATTCCTATGAGAGTTAGACACCCTTTATAAAATAAGGATCAAAGCTTGATTTTTGAAGCAGACTTGCTTACAAAAGTCTATTATATTCTTTTCAGATTTCTTTATTTAATTAAAAATAGCCAAGACAATTATTTCCCCTTGCTGTTTATACAGAGCTACAAAGAAGTTGTTTTTCTCATCCTTTGATAAAAGCATCCTATAAAATGTAAAGTAGTAAGTTAACATAGTATTATTGTCACTCATGATGTTTTGGTTAAAATGTTGATATGAAGCACATTTTAGGAATTATTTTAAATGATGGAGTAATGGTGGTGGACATATGATAACAAAAAGAGTAAACAGTTTTTAGTTAGCAGTAGATGGTACTACTGGCTTTCATTATTCCATTTTCCATAAAAACCATGGTATTGAACTATACTAAAATAGTAAGCATGTATTAGTTAGCTGGTTATCATCCTATAACAAATGGGTTGCAATAGTCATGTGTGGAGAGAATAATAGAAAGTTGTTCTGGATCTTTTAAACCTTACATAGTTGTACACTGTAAAAATGTCAGTATACCTTAAAATGAAAGATTTAGATTTCTGTCTCTTTCTACTTTCCCTGTGTTAGTTATTTGTAAATTCTAAATGGTCAGCATAAAATGTATTAAATAACTGAAGATATGTATAATATATTTCAGACTGAATTATTTCCTCCACTATCAGGATGGATAAAGCACTGCAATCTCTTTATCAGGAAATAGAGATGATGTGTTATTTTGCATATGTAATCTCCAGACTCCATTTTATGTATGGATATTTTCCTTGCTTGTAGGAAAATAGAAAAAGGACAGATTTCTTTTACAGCTTTGTCTACACCCTCTCTGAGAGAGGTTTTGATAACCACTGAAATAGTAGAATATGTGCCATACAATATTATGGTGTAGAACTTTCTTTTAAAATGATTGTCATACCTTAACATCCAGTGAGAGTTGATCTTCAGAGTAGTTCCCTTGGGAGCGCTACTTATTCCAGCTATGCTACAAAAGTGTAATGTTTTTGGAATTCCTTTAGAGATGCCAGGAGAACTGGCTTGTAACTATGCAAGAAAATCAATTTCATCATCTTTTTTGGCAGCTTAATATTTATCTGTCCTAATCTCCAAACCAAGTCTAACAACTTGGCTGTTCTATGAGAACTAAGCCAACAGGGAAATTCAAAAGAATGTGTCATAGGATCTGACTCTGCAGAAGAGAATGTTTTAACCATTAACTGCATCATTGAATAAAGGAATTATTTTCCTAATGTGACTATTTTGAAGTGGACAGTATCATTTGGATGTATAGATTTAATTTTCTAAATTTAGTTGAATTACTTTATATTTAAATATAATACTATTTTTAAAAAAATCCCAGAGCTTCCTTTAGAACTTACTTTTTATTTTTTATTTCTTTTCCTGAAAACTTTTGAATTCCATCTTGACTATTATAGGATAGTTTTGATCAAATGGATAGTATGGAAAAATGAATCCAGTGTTTAAAATAGCAGTAGTTTAAGGAAACAGACTCTTTACCTCCATTCTTTTTTTTTTTAAACATGTTTTCATTTAAGTTAACAGTCTGACTTTAAAGACTAGAGGTTGTGTGCAAAGAAATTGGAACGTTTTATGTATTAATTATGCTAGATTTTAAGTCTGTCAGAAATAATATATTTAGAATTTTATAACTATTTCACATATAATTTTTAACCTTAAAGTTTGACTTGTTTTGAAAAGATGGGGGCCAAAATATATTTGTAATTTTGAAATGTGACTGCATACAATCATATTTTGAAACTTACTTAGAATATTAAAGAATATGCCAATTCTTAGAAACACAGAAGATCTACACTTTAAGGACCATTTCTAAAATAATTAAAATGACAAAAAGAGTTTTATCATTATGTTAAGATTTACCATAGGAATCACTGTTGTTCAGCTATCAGCTTAATTGTGTATGAGATGATACATGGCTAGAGGTAAAGCTATCTCAAGATTTAATGAACAAGTATAATTAGAACATGTAACAAAATTCTGACTGCAGATGATTTGAATTTTAAAACTTTCCTAATAAGTTAATAAAAGCAAATTTGTTTTGAAAACATAACAGTGCATTCCATGTCTGCCACTCATGGCTGAACTTTATTTAGACAAAAGAGAAAAAATAGATTAAAATAGGGGTACTCAATTTTATAAGCATAATGCAAGTCTATTTGCAAATAGTGTTATATAATAGAAAACTCTGGACTATAATTCTCAAAGACAGATAGTGAAATCACTGGCCTTTTCTAGCGGTATGTTTTCCTATTCTCCATCTTCTGTTTGAGACATATATACACACATAACAAGAAAACAAAGCAGTTAGGTTGACTTTGTAGGTCTTCATTGTTAGTGATTCTTTAGTGCTTACTGTCAGAATATAGGTTTCTGTTTGTTTTGGTTGACAGCTTTCTTTAAATTATGTCACTGAAAAGGATATTAGTTGTATAAAATCAAACAAAATATTTAATTTTTATTATTATTAAATTTTACAGGTGGATGTTTCTTACAGGTTTTTGCTTTTATTTTTTTCTGAAATACTTAATTGTGCAGATTGTAAAACAGATTTGTGTATTTTCATTTAGGAACACTTTTCTCCTTAAATTGTTCTGCAGAAATGACTATTTTTAGGGAAAATAGTTTTTTATAGCCACTAAATTGTATTTGTTATTTTTGTACATGCATAACCAGGGTGGTGAGGAAGTAATATTTTATGGAATACTTTTGTTCTATTTGGATTTTTCCTATACATTTATTACTTAAAATTATCACTAAGAACAGTGTCATGAAATCTAGGTTGAGAGTGAATACAGTAAATATGAGAACATGTAGTTCTAATAGATACCATTTCTGAAGACAAAGGGAGAAAAATATTGCCACTGCAAAGTAATGGAAGTATAAGGGCAGTGTTCACATTGTGCAAGTATTTAAGAGAATGTATAAAGACAAAAATCTTACTTTCATGGATATAAATAGTTTCTCAAAGTAGCTGGAAGGGGAAAAATAATCTAAAAGACGAAATGCAGCATGGACGCCATATTGTAAACTGTGCCAAGATTATACAAATTGTAGTTGTTATTGATCAGAGTTTAATTATTTCATCATTTTTACTTTAATAGGGGATAATGAATGTCAGAAAATCTGTAATGTTTTATTTGAAAGATGTAAATAATGTATACAGACTTATATGTGGTGGGATGGGGGAAGTATTTAAATTCTAGGTTTTTTTAAAAGGAAGAAACTGAATGTTTATAAGAAAATTAATAAATAGTTACTATGTTTGGCCATGACCTGACTTTGCATTGGTGTTTATTTTTACTCTAGGTATTCCTACACTGAACACATTCCAAGGGAAATTGAATATACATGGAGGATGTTTAACATTTCAGATTTATTAGGTATTATTTTCTGTAATGTTCACAACCCTAGAAGTTAGTAAATCTCAAATGTTTTATATCCTAGAAAACTAGAGCACAGAAATTGTAAAACTTATTGATGCTATTTTATTATTGGTCTAGGGTTCAAAAACCCTTATATGCCTGAACTTGAAACTAATGTTTTTTTTTTCTTTAATTGATAACAATTACAGTGAGAACAATTTGCAAAATAGTGACTTGTGGACTTTTCCATTAATCTAAGATATTTAATATTTTGTCTTCATTTTAGATAATTAAGGAATATCAGAGAATCATTTACTCTGATACCCATATTTCAAAAGGAAATGTGTATTTTTGAGTAATATGCATATTATTATAGAGAGGTATTTATGTTAGAGGCATTTGTGCTTGGATCTTCAAGTTGAGGTAGCAGCCACAATTTTTTAAAATCACTAGTAGTATTTGTGGAGAAGACAAGGAGTCAAAATGCTAGTCAGTGCTGATGGGGACTGTGCATGCTTTAAAAACACCTTATTAGGGCTGAGGTTGTGGCTCAGTGGGAGAGCACTTGCCTAGCACGGGCGAGGCCCTGGGTTTGATCCTCAGCACCACATAAAAATAAATAAATAAAATAGAGCTATAACTAAAAAAAATTTTTTTAACCCACCTTATTATTCTGCAATGAAGTATTTATAAAGCATCTACTGTGTATAAAGAAATAAACATATATACAGTAAAAATTAACTACATTTTGATAATTATGTTAATTGACCTCCACTGTACTAAATGCATGTTATTAATTCCCCATATAACACTGTCAGGAATAATGCTTTTGGCAATGTAAATTTCTACATAATTATTCCTTTAAGGCTTAAGTACCTGTATTTAATAGAAATTTACCAAAAGATTGTACATGCTTTTGTTTTTAAACAGTATCAGTTCAGGGTCACATTTTCCTGATGATCTCCATTCATCTTTATAAGCATGTATCAAATAGCTTCTTTTCCATAAAACTATATATATCTGGTGGCTCCTATATTCTTAAATGCTACTATACTTTCACATGTCAGATTATTTAGAAAACCCTGACTTCCCTGCTCCTTTTTTTAAGATGGCTTCTGTATCCCTCTGTTTCTAGGCAATTGAGAAGATTACAAGTGAAATTTATAATGAAGCTTAGTTGATAAATATTCTTTTATAGAAGTAGTTGGGCTGGTATGGGCAATTCCATGGGTTTTATGGCTACTACTTAAGATCAGTATTCAGGACCTTTTATTTTTTCTGCCTTTGCTCTCATTTTCAGTTAAATCCTGCTTCCTGTCTTTCCCTCCCTTCCTCCCTCCCTTCTTCCTTTCTTCCTTCCTGACAAGGTCTTACTGTTAACCAGACCAGCCGTGAATGTCTGAGCTTAAGTGATCCTCCTGCTTATATATCATGAGTAGCTGGGACTACAGGCACACAGGTCTTCTCTCTTTTAGTTACACTAAAATTCCCATAGGAGAAACAAATCCCCAAATTGAAGGAGTAGTAAAATTTCTGGCAAGTTCAGGGATACATTCCTAAGTGGCTTCATGCTCCTTGTCCTATTTCAACTCTTTGAAGTTCCAAAACTCTGAAAATGGAAAGTATTTTCTTGAATTAGGAAAACAAAAACCATTTACTCAGAGTGCATCTATCACAAAGTTAACAGTCTTCTTCCTTCTTAAAACTATATATCACTGCAAATAATTATTAGTGCTTTTGACTTAACACCCCTATAGTGGGGTGGGAGTAGTTATTTATATACAAAATATGCACTATTTCTTTTATAAAATTTTGAACTTGGAAATTGTGAATTCCAAAACATCTGGCTGCAAGGGTTTCACATAAGGTATTATGAACCAATATCAAGAAGGTGTCTTGAAAAATGCTTTTCTCAGGTCTCTTCTTGGCTATCCATAAGATTTTCAAGAAAATGGGAAATTATGCTGAACTAATTGCTAAGAGAGATGCCCTATTTCTTCCATTTACTTCGTTTATAATTTTGAAGTATACTTTTAAACTTACAGGAACTCAAATTCTCACTGCTGGAAACTAGCAAAGCTAGAATGTGAAAACAGTTTTTAATTTTTTTCCTGTGCTTAAACTCAAATACTGCACCATACTGCGTTTGTATGGAAACCACACTTGGAGACTTCTACTGCTCATCTCTCCATCTGATCCATATGGAACTTAAGTTGTTTTCTCCTATTGAAGATTTTGGAGGCTCACCTTGCCTTACTTTCTCAGTAGCTGTGAATACTCATTATTTCATATGTTCCCCCTAAGTTTGGGTGTGGAATATGACACTTAGTAGCTTCCCCCATTACGTTTTCCCCAACTTCATTGCCATACTTTGATGACAGCTACTTTTCAGCTTCAAGGCTCTAGTAGCTAACCACTGTGAAAAGATAAATGAAAATAAAATAAAGGCATAGCAAGATTATACAGGGAAGTGAGGCTGGAGTTGTGGCTCAGAGGTAGAGTGCTCACCCAGCATGCGTGAGGCACTGGGTTCAATCCTTGGCACCACATAAAAATAAAATAAAAATATTAAAAGGAAACAGCTTTAAAGAAATTACATAAGGGAGTTACAAAGGAGAATTTTTGCTGTTTTCCAGAGTTCCTCCATGGACTTGTTTTAATTTCTGCTCTTTAGTTTTGAGAATGGAGTTACCATCCACTCTCCCCTTCTTCTAGCTCTACTTTCAGATGCATTTCAGATCTGACCATAGCTGCAAGGTAAAAACTAACCTTCTGATTACTTGTAGATAATTTGAATTTGATTACTTCCAGGAAGCATAATAACCTGGTATAACCCATCCTAAAAATGAACAACTCTGTAGTTGTCCTCAGCTAGATTAGCTTCCGCAGAGCACATGGCATACAAATAGACATCCTAAAATCAACACACGTGTTTTAACTGTGCCAGGTGATGGAGTCAAAAGTTAATTATGCCATTGTCATGCTTAAAAGAAACCTACCTAGTCTTGCGGTTCCCTACACAGCACTGAAGGGCATCCAATTCAGATGGAGAAGGTATGGAATCTGAGAATAGTGTCTGACCACCCATTCTAATCCCAGTTCCACAAGCCCATTTCAGGACACGAAACAGCTTCTGGGTGCCTGCTTCCTCAATGGCAAATGGGGATAACAGGATCTAGCACTGGATCACTAGTTAACTCGAAAAGAGCTTAGACTTAACCAATGTGTTTCTATAATAACCTATGTATATATGCCTATAGGTATATATTGTATATAAGTATACAATAAACATTCAAGTTGTAGGGAAAAAAAGAAAAGCGCTTATAAAAAACTGCCTTGTAAGGGCAATGCATTTCTTTAAAAGCCTTTGCTGATGGGTCTTACAGGATAACAGAGGGTAAACATTTGACTTTACATCACTGATTTTTCTCCCCTAACGAGTTCAAAATTTCAAGTCTAATTTTGTCCTGACGCTTCGGTTTATTCCCAGAAGCCACTCAGAGAAGCACCGCGTGACCCGTCGTGACGTAGGCAGCGGACCGCACCGGAGGTGGGAGAGGGCCGACGGAACTGTAGAGGGCTTGGGGGCGGAGCCACCCTACTGGCCCGCCCCCGTCGGCAGCTGCCTCCGCGCGCGAAAGTCAAACCTAGGGACCCGCCGGCGGGGGAAACCTAACTGGGTCAGATCTGGGCGAGTTCCGGATCGTGCGCGCGTCTGTGCTCTCCTCCTTGCCCGAAGCATTTGGGGCAGCCAAAGACCAAGAATGGCCACCCCGCCCAAGAGAAACTGCCCATCTCCCTCCACTAGCTCCGAGGGTACCCGCATCAAGAAAATCTCCATCGAAGGGAACATCGGTAAGAACCCCTGGTGAATGTTGGGCTCAAAGCAGGGGGAATCACGGTGGCGTCTGAAGGTCCCCTTCGCTGCCTCTAGCTGCTATTAGGTGAGGGCTTTGCCTCCATCCAGTCTGGAGGTGCGGACGCGGCCCCGGCTTTCTTTCCCGCCCGAAGCATCTTTCCCAGCCCTCCCCCGCTACCCTCCTGCGCCCGAGGCTGGCAGACGCTGGTCCCGCTGAGCGCCGGGTGGGCGGGCTTTGTGGGGCGCGCTTTGGACCGCTGCACGGGTCTTTTTTGGGCACTCGAAGAGGGAAGGGTATCTTTTGATGGTGGGTCGGATACAGCGGATTTCTTGAGGTGTGATTTAGGTTAAGTTACATTCACCGTTTTAAGGTGTACTGTTCTATGAGGTCTCAAACATAATGCCTTTTCACATCAATATAAAAAACATTTCCATCGCCCCCAAAAGTTCCTCTGTGCTCCTTTGTAGCCAACATCCCCTCCCTTCCTCTCTTTCTGGGAATTGCTGACCTGATTTTTTTTTTTTAATTCCTGCGAGTTATGCCATTTCCAGAATGTCATATAAATAGAATCAGAGTGTCTAGCCTTTCGTGTCTTGTTTCTTTTAGCATAGCGCTTTTGAGATTCATTCATGTTTTTTCTGTAGTTTCTTTTTATTGCCGAGTAATGTATTATTGCAAGGATATACCATGATTTATGTAGTCCCCACTTGTGGATGTTTGGTTTGTTTCTAGGTTTTAGCAATTACTGATGAAACTGCTATACACCTTCAAGTTCAAGGAAAGAGGCTTTTAATGTTCTAAATAGCATGGAGTTCCTCAACTCTACCTAACATCCAAGCAGTAACTAGAGTACGATTCAAAGACCACTAACGTTTCACTTTCTGGTTTTTGGTGGTTTTGTGTGTATGTGTGTGTTTGCCATACCAGGAATTGAACCCAGAAGCCCTCTCAGACTTTTCTTAGGTTGCACTGGATGTGGGTGGCTGGCTCTAAATTCTGATCCTCTTGCCTCAGCTTCCTAAATTGCTGAGATTATAGGTATCTGCCATTGCCCTGGACAGGTTTTTGTTCCAACTCTGTTGGAGGCAAACCACATCATGCATATCATTGTGCAAGGTGAACATGAATTTCCTACTATAGGAAACCTACTCCTGACACTTCCTGTTTTGATATAATTTTTTTGGTTGTAGGTTGGGTACTGGTCATCCATGCATACAGTATAGGTTTTCTTAACACATTCAAAGCAGTGTTCCTATAAAAAAGCAAGGCTAGTAGTTGCTTCACCCATTCAGAATAAAACTGAATACACCCTCAAGAAGATCTTATTTTATTGCTGCAGGTTTAAGGCACCAGTGGGAAAGACTCTTATTTCATCTAAGCAGTGTAAGTTCTATGATGATGCATGTTTGCTGGTATGATGCATGTTTACTGGTATGAGTCCTCTTTGTGGAGAAAGATCATCTGTAAAGACAGGAAAAAGCAGTTAACAATGCCATCATAAAAATGTATTTGAACAGATAACACCTCAGATCGATATCACAATGTATTAACCTTCTTCTCTCTTCTTAAATCCAGTTAGGTAACATATCATATCTAGAAATCTACTTTCCCTGCAAGCATCTGTAATCTTCTCAGCACCTGAAATAATTTCCTAGTGTGTTACTCCATTTCCAATTTCTCTTAATTACTTGCAGAGCATTCATTCTATATACAGATGGAATCATGTTATAACCTGCTTAAAATTCCTGACTTCTCTATACTGAAAGGATCTGCAAACTGATGGCCTGCATTTGTACCATATTTTCCTGCTGTGATTTGGGTAGAGGCAGGGTGTTAGTTACTAGAATTTTAAAAATTTGAGATTCCCCATAAACATCTAGGTTCTTGGCTTATGAAAAATCTAAAGATCTCCTAACACTGGGCCTATGTTTCTATGTAACAACGATTTGTGTTTAGATGGAGTGCGTTCCTCACCATTTACTGTCTCCTTTACACTAGGCTTTGTCAGTTGATGTTTATTACTGCTTTTGCACTGTTGTTCATGTTCCCATCCACCTTATTTGACAGAGTCAAACAAGCTATCACTGTATAAATTTGTGGCTGGATGCTATGGCACATTCTTTTAATCCTAATGACCTGGGAGGTTGAGGCAGGAGAATCTCAAGTTTGAGGCCAGCCAGCCACAGCAACTTAGCAAAACTGTGTCTCCAAAAACAAACAAACAAACAAACAAACAAACAAGTAAAAATAAAGGACCAGGTTTGATCCTCAGTACTGAAAAAAAAAATACTATTTTTTCTTTATGATTCTGTTTCTAGAATTTGAACTTTTTATTTTTATTTTTCAGTGCTGAGAATCAGATTCAAGGTTTGCATACTATGCAAATGTTTTACTAACAGAGAACTGTACCCCATCCCTACAATGTAAATTTTACCTGGTTATTTTAGTTTTGTACTAAAGTAGCTCATTATCTCATGTTCTAAGTTATTAAAATACACCCTAATGTTAGATTTATGGAGCCCTTGGCCAGACATGGTGGCACACACTTATGACCAGCAGTTCAGGAGGCTGAGGCAGGAGGATTGTGAGTTCAAAGCCAGCCTTGGTAATTTAGCAAGGCCTTAAGCAATTTAGCGAGACCCTGTCTCAAAATTAAAAGTAAAAAGGGCTGATGATGTGGCTCACTAGTGAAGGCCCTCTGGGTTCAATCTGTGGTACCAAAAAAAAAAAAAATGATTTATGGAAGGCTTACCTGCTTCTTAATACTTTGTTCAGAATGACTTTTATCATCTTAATGCTTGTTTGACATTAAGAATTCAGTTAGTTCCTGGGATTTTTATAAAGTATTAATGTGAATATCTATGGTTCCTGTTCTCTTTTGCCTTTGTCCTTGGTAGAATATTTACTTATTGATTAACTTATTTTCTAGTTCCCACTCCCCCCACAAAATTTAAGGAACTAAACTAGGACTAAGTATTGTTACTCTGTGTGAACTAAATGTAGCTATTATTACATTTAAACTTTAAAAATAGACTGCATGATTCTGCTTGTAGGCAGTATCAGAGGGAAGCTGAGGGCTGGTGTTGTGGTTCAATGGTAGAATGCTCGTCTAGCACATATGAGGCACTGGGTTCAATCCTCAGCACCACATAAAAATAAAAATATTGTGTCCACCTACAACTAAAAAAATTTATATAAAGGAAGTAGAAAGTGGTAGCCTTCAGTGCATTCAGACTCTGAGCTGATGCCTTGGTGCTCTTTTCCTTTGTTCAGTGAATATTCGGTGATCATATAAAACCATTCTTCTAGATGCCTTACAGTCCCTAACTTGATCACCGTGCTTTTCTCATGACTAGTCACTCTGTTTATCCTTAGAAAGTTTTTCTTCTCTTCTGGAGATAATGTGAATATCTATTTTACTTGTCTCACTGTTCTCTCTGTGTCAATTTTTTATTTAACTCCCTCCCTTTGCTTTGTGTGATCCTTTAAAGTTCTTATATATATATTTTCCCATTTATTTATTTATTTATGTGATACTGGGAATTCAACCTAGGGCCTTGTGCATGCCACACAAGTGCTTTGCCACTGAGCTACATCCTCATTCCTTTCATTCTTTTCTGTTGCTCTGCATAATGTCATAGGTTTTGAATATAGTTCTGCAAGTCAAAGGTAAGTTCATCCTTGCCTGCCTGTTTATAAGGAAGAAGAAGCTTTGCTTGCAAAGATGTTAAAGTTATATATGGGTTTGTATGTGTAGAGAGAGAGAGAGAGAACATTATGCTGATCAGCAATGTCTAATATAACCACATTTGGTGACATTAGATAGAAAGGATGTGGTAGAGCTGGGCATGGTGGCGCATGCCTATGATCCCAGCAGTCCTGGAGGCTGAAACAGCAGGATCGAGAGTTCAAAGCCAGCCTCAGCAAAAAGCAAGGCACTAAGCAATTTAGTGAGACCTTGTCTCTAAATAAAATACAAAATAGGGCTGGGGATGTAGCTCAGTGGTCAAATACCCACTGAGTTCAATCCCCAGTACCCCCCCACCACCACCAAAAAAAAAGAAAGGGTGTAGTGGTCATTGGGAGTACCCTGTGAGGTTCTACATCAAGACTGTCCCTACTATTAAATATAATATATTCCTAGGTAACTTCAACATAGTAAACATTGTATACCCTAATTATACATGAGCTGTCCCTATGTCCCCTGCCAACCCCATATCTCAGAAACTAATGAGTGGTCAGAGAAAACTAAAGTACATATTTTTTATTTATTTTTTTTAAGGTTTGATAGAAAACACAGAACCATGACAATTACTGCTTTTAGGAAGTATTTTGAAGAAAGGTTTTATAATATTTACTAGTCATTGTGCTTATTAGTGTTAGTAATAATCATATTATTCTTTATTCTAAAACCCTAGTCATTGGATGTATCTTCATATTGATATTATGGTTACTTGTGTGTTCCTTAATTAGTTTTAGATAGGAGAAAACTGAGCTTCTTTGTAGACTTGAGAGAGTGGAGCTGGTAGACAGGAAGGTTCTAAAAATCTGAGCCTGGAATGAATAATAATATAGTGATAGTTTATTTGTTATTACAACAGTTTCCATGAAGAAAGTACTATTATCTTTTTTGAGGAAACAGGCTCAGAGAGGTTCAGGGACTTGCCCAAATTCACACAACTAGTTTTAAGTGGGAGACTAGCCTTACTGTTTCCCAGAATTGCTTGGCTAAGGAAAATATGTCTTGGAGTTGAACCTTTTTCTCCCAGATATAACATCTTGCCTAAAACTTCACTAGAGTCTTATTTCCTCTGTTCTCTGGCTTTGCTAAGCTAAAAACAGTAACAAGTGTGCTCTGCACACTTGAATAGGTACCCTTTTAATTTCTGTTTTTTTAAAAAAAGAAAGTTTAAGAAATTGCATTTGTTGCCTGTTATAAATCCTGTAAAAGCCGATGATTATCTTTATTTTTTTTCCTGACAAGTTTTCTTACCGAATTTTACCTTTCCTTTCATAACAGCTTCAGGGAAGTCAACATTTGTGAATATCCTTAAACAAGTCTGTGAGGATTGGGAAGTGGTTCCTGAACCTGTTGCCAGATGGTGCAATGTTCATAGTACTCAAGATGAATTTGAGGTATGAAAATAGAGTTTTAAATGAATAAAATAAAAATCTTTTGGATTAGAGGACCAACATCTTTTTCTTTTCCAATAAAAATTTCAAGTCTGTATCTTCATTGTGGTGGTGTTACATGAATATTTATATAAATATATACATAAAGCTTTGTTGACCTATGCTTTTAAGATTTACTATTGTATCTAAATAAAGTTAAGTGTTTTAAGAGTTTAAAAATTAATGAAGCCTTAAAAAATTGAATTTCAATTTAAATTTCTCCAAGGGCTTTGTTTTTGGAGCGGGAGAGTACTGAACTCAGGGGCACTTGACCATAGAGCTACATCCCCATCCCTATTTTTGTATTTTATTTAGAGACAGGATTTCACTGAGTTGCTTAATGCTTCTAGTTGCTGAGGTTGGTTTTGAACTTGCTATCCTCCTGTCTCAGTCTCTGGGATTATGGTGGAGCTGATGGGATTATAGGCATGTACCTTCACTCCCTATTCAAAGGGTTTTATATTTTGATTAAAAACAGGCAAACAAAAAAATTTTTTTTAAATCTTAGTTTACCTTTTAAGACCTTTGTCATAGAGAAAATAGTTTATTTCAGATTTCTTTTTATCATTACTATCATTCTTAAGACTTCTATTATAGGGCACAAGTGTCATTTTCATTGCCTTGCAAATGAGAAAGGAAGGAAATAACAGTTACATTTCCTTTTTTTAGTAAAGAATTTTTGGTTGTGTGTATAGGAGAGAGTGATTGCTAATATTTTCATTTTTGGAGAATTGGGAATTGAAATTGAAAGAAGAAATCTTCAAAAATGGAAATGCATGATAGAAACTTACTTTAAAAAGAGCAGGACAGAAGAGTGAAAAAATATTTTTAAAAGTTTAACTGTTGGTAGGATTTCTGTGAATAATTGAATATTTAAAATATAAATCACATACACAAATAGGAATTACTAGCAGGATACTCTGTAGACTTTAAATATATATGATTTTAAATTAGTAAAAAATATTTTATTAACACTACCTTCTATTTGCTAAGCATAGTTACTTTAGGTCTGGGGCCAATTAGGTATACCCATCTTTATAATGTCTAGGACTAAATTTAAAGGGACTTCCTCCCTAGATGGACCCTATTTTCTAAAGAAATTGATGTCTCCTATCTTTGAGGAAAGGTAGGATTAGTCTTAAAAAGAACTTTAAAGTGGGTGAATATATTTGTTTCTTTAACCATTTTTAATTGACATGTAACTATAAAAGTGTATGAAGTCTATGTATAGTCTAAAGAACACTTCAAAAAGCTAACATCTTTGTAATCATCATCCAGGTCGAAAAAATAGAACATTAATTATCATTTTAGAAATCCTGCTTGTCCAATCATATCTCTAAACAAGGGTACAAATATGTGAGGTGCTTCTAGTTGAAAGTTATTGCCCTGTTAATATTGAGAGTATATTGCACCCTTTACTAATGTTGCAGAGAAGAGGTTGAAAATTGTATTAATATACTTGGGAAGATAATTTATAATAAGAAGATTGTCTCTTGAACTTGGAATCAGTTCAGAGAGATTGGTTAGATTTAGTGACTGACATCATTAGACTATGACACATTGATGTATCTGTCACCATTTTAAAACTATATGTCTTCATGAATATGGCACTTATGTTTATGGGCTAGGACATTTTCTTTCCACGTACTGGAGTCAGAATGCCAAGCTGGCATTTTTAAAGTAAGTAGTATACATATGATCCTGTTATCATGGGGCTGGGAGGAGTACTAGAGATGGAATCCAGGGCCTCTTTACCCCTCTGCATCCCCAGCCCTTTTTATTTTTTTATTTGAGGGTTTTGCTGAGTTTCTGAGGCTGACCTTGAATTTATAATCCTGCCTCACTCTCCTGAGTTGCGGGATTATAGGCATGTGCCACTGCATCAAGCTTGATTATCTTTGTTGAAATTTGATGCATATTCTTGGACGGTAGCTTTAATTTTGTGTGTGTCTATTGAAAGCTGTTATATTATTAGTCTTCTGTACTTCCAGGCAAAGATTCAAACAATGTGGGAATAGTATTTTGGGGTAGATTGTAGAATGTCAGGGAATGGGTAGCAGAGTGGCATCCTTCTTCTTTTTTTTTTTTCCTGGCCCTCCACTATTTTCAAGAAGTGGGGTTTTCTTCATCTTAGATCAGTACTTCCCCAAACCCATCCCTGATCTATTTCTTGGAGTTATGTGACTCACCAACTGTATAAATCTTAGCTTTCTTAGAATATTGTCAACAATGGGAAATGGACTGTTTTCATTCCAGTCCTGGCCAGCCCAGTCCTACTTTGGATGTTATCCATTTGATTATACTGCTTGGAAGTTGTAGAACTGGAAGAGTGGCTATTAGTAGATGTTGTCTTTCCCTGATATTTAAATATGCACCTGCTTATTTAGCTTGTTCTGGGGTTTTTTTTAAAGCTGTCTTTTTTTAAACCTGCCACCTAGTGGCTGAAATGTTGCTGTACTGTTAATAGGCTACCACTATTTTTTTTTAATTTATTTTTTATTTATATATGACAGCGGAATGCATTATAATTCTTATGACACATATAGAGCACAATTTTTCATATCTCTGGTTGTATACACAGTGTATTCATACCAATTTATGTCTTCATACCTGTACTTTGATAATAATGATCATCACATTCCACCATCACTAATTTTGATATAATGAAGGGGTGAAATAGTTTAAATGATTACATAGTCTCCTCCCTCATGTGATAAAAATGATCTTTAAAACTTATCACCTAGATGATTTATCAAATTTTGTATTAAAGGCTTATTTCCAAATAATAATATATTTGCTGATTTGATTTAATTGCCTCCTATTAGGTTTTTTGTTTTCTAGGTTTTTTTTTTTTTGTAGATAGACTTAAGGAGATCTCTCCTTTTTTGTTCTTTTTCATTGAGCTGAATTTTTTACATTTATAAATCATTTAATATACAAAGTTAAAAACTATTTAGAAGCTGAGTGTAGTGGTGCACACCTGTCTCCCCAGTAATTTAAGAGACTGATGAGGAGGATTGGAAGTTCAAAGCCCACCTCAGCAAGGCCCCAAGCAACTTAGTGAGACCCTATCTCAAAATAAAAAAAAGAACTGAGGATATGGCTCAGTGTTAAAACACCTGGGTTCCATCTTCAGTACCAAAACAAACAAAACCAAAAACCAAAACAAACAAAAACACTATCTAGAATTTTACATTTTTAAAAGAATATCTTCTAAATTATTCAACAGAAGATAGAGATCATATTCCTTTGTCTGAAATCCTGGGGCCAGATGTTTCAGAATAAGAAATTTACAAGGGCTGGGATTGTGGCTCAGTGGTAGAGCGCAAGACTTTCGCGTGTGAGGCACTGGGTTCCATCCTCAGTACCACGTAAAAATAAAGGTATTGTGTTCATCTACAACTAAAAGAAAAAAAAGAAATTTTTAGAATTCAGAATGGTAAATCAGTGTACATACCATACTACAATAATACTACACGCGCGTGTGCGCGTGTGTATGTGTGTGTGTGTGTATTTTTTGCCATTGGGGATTGAACCAGGGATGCTTAACCACTGAGCCGCATCCCCAGCCTTGTTTTTTATATTTCATTTACAGACAGGGTCACACTGAGTTGCTTGGGACCTTGATAAGTTGCTGAGACTAGCTTGAACTTGCAGTCAATCCTCCTGCCTCAGTTTCCAGAGCTGCTGGAATTACAGGCATATTCCACAGTGCCCCACTGAAACCCTCAATTTTTTAACTCTCAATGTATATACCATTCTACATTAACCTTCAATCAATCATGTATGATTATAGGGAGGGACAGCAGCCCTCCTTGCATAATCAAACATGTTAGTACTTTTGTAGTAATATAAATGCCTATTCACACCAAATGGGTTAAATAGATGTCACTGTCAGTTCATATTAGATTTGTAAGCAAATGAATTTTGTCATCAAGCTTATGAAAATTTTGTTTTCAGAACTTCTTCAATTTTGAAATTACAAATTCAGATGAGGGAATGCAGACCTTTATAAACTTGTGTGACAAGACATGAAAGATTTTTAAAAAGCATAAGCTTTCAAATACATTATAAATTAACAGGCATCTTCTCTTTGATTTTATTAAATGTACATCTTAAATATAGGTACACATAGCATACAATATGATTTATGACAGTTGGTATTCAAAGGCACAGGTTCACTATTCTGTAAGAAGGGGATATTGTTGAATGTGCAGTAAAATTAAAAATGAGATTAGACCTATCATCTTATAGCATCACGTATACACTTTGGATCCCTAACCTTCTTATGGCAGATAAATGGCTGCAGATGATGCAGAAAAGGCTTATGTCTGGTAATACATTCAAATGCCAAGGTCCTAAAGCTCCAGTAATTAACAATGGCTATATAAGGCTTATTCTCAAAGATCTCTGGGGTCACATACTATAGTATTCCCACAAAAGTTGTAGCAAGACTTCTTTGATCAGTGCCTTTGGCGTATCCAAGATTAATTATTTTATTCATTATCTTTCCACCAACATACACAAGAACTACATATTTAGGTTTTAAAACTGAGAAATAATTTTAGTTTTTGTGCAAATATCAAATCCCAGACCTTCTATCACTCAGTAAAGAAATCATCTGGCTTAATCTTTAAGTCTACTTCAATTTTCTGGTTTGTTGAGTAGCTTCTGAAGACCTCCAAAACAGTATTTCATTGCTAGAAAAGGCATATCATTAATCAGAAAATTCAATTCCTCAGGAACATCATAGGCCTTTACAACATTGGCATGATTCAGCTTCATGCTGATTTCATGTCACCACTGTTCTGTTTTTGGTACTTAGCTCTAGGTGATGAGATTTATTTGCTATTTTGGGGTCAAGTTCCCAGTGCTGGTACAGATAGACATTCCCAGAGCTGTCAGTGTCAAGTTGCTCCCAGATCTCTCAGGGCCCACCTCTACCTGGCCACATTTTAGGAGTCAGCTTTATTGGGTGGAAGGGCAAGCAGTGTTAGGCTCTGACATTGTTCCTGAACTGAATTTTTTTTTCGGCGGTGGTGGTGGGGGGGTTATTGCTATTAATTGTGAAGCATTATGTCACTTAAATTTATTTTTTTAAATTTAAGTTGACCAATGAAACATTTATAGTGTACAACATGATGTTTTGAAATGTATATATGTTGTAGAATGGCTGTCAAGATAATTAGCATATGTATTACCAGTGCTATTTTACTTAGTATTATTAATACTAAGAAACCAGTGAGAAATTAGTAACTGTGAGAAAGGAGGTATATATTTGTCTTTGAAACAACTTATTTTTTTCTTTTTTTAAACCTTGATATTTTTTTCTCACCTACCAATAATCTATACTTTCTATAAAATAGTGAAATATTCTTTCATGAAGTAATAGTGGATATGAATCAGAGAGAACAGAATAAAAACCACTATAATCCCATCATTCTGTATGTTTCATTTATATAATTGTGATAATAAATTACTAAATCCAGTTTGGGTAACGGTAAATACAATTTTTTATTTTATAAAATAATACCACTTCACAGTTAAGAAAATGTTGGATTATCCAAAGAGGGAAATGAAGCTGGGAGCGGTAGTCCATGCCTATAATCTCATGGGCTTGGGGATTACAGGTTTACACAGGAGGACTGTGAGTTCAAAGCTAGCCTCCACAATGGCGAGGCACTAAACAACTCAGTGAGACCCTGTATCTAAATTTAAAAAAATACAAAATAGGGCTAGGGATGTGGCTCAGTGGTTAAGAGCCCATGAGTTCAATACCAAGTACCAAAAAAAAAAAAGAAAAAAAAAAAAGAAGGAAATGAAACTTACCTATAACCTTATTACCCAGAGATAAGTGCAGATCCTATTTGATACAACAGTATACAATTTTGTACTGTTTTTCTCAGCTATAATAACCATTATGACTTAACAATTTAAAATGTCATTAAAATTTTTCTGTAAATGAAAGACAGCTTAATTAATTGTATTTATATACTTAATATAATATAAATACCTAATAATAATGCAGTGATAGCCTCCTATTTACCTAGCACTGTGATAGACAACTTTTCAGTTAAATCTATATTCTACATTATTTCTTTAAAATAAAATTCTAAAAGTGGACTTAATGGGGCCAAAAATTACAGATTTTTTTTTAAAGTAGCTAAATTGCTGTCTAAGTGTTATACCTATAAAATTCTATTACAAAGTTTTGCTTCAGTTTTAATTTATGCATTTGTATTTTTAGAACTAGCTGATTATCATTTTTATAACTAATGAGTCAGGATTGATCCTCTGAGTTCTTTTAATATAGTAGACTTTGGAATTACTTTGGGCAAGAGAGATTACATTTATTGGGAAATTCAAATAAAAGGTATATGATTTTGTTATTAATTTTTAATTTTTATTAAAACATGAAATTTTACCATCTAAAATGCCTTTTTAGGTGTACTGCTTTGATAGTTTTAAGTACATTTACAGTGCTATAAAACAAATCTTTTGCATCTTTCACAACTAAAACTATGTCTATTAACCACTCCCTTTGCCTGCTCTTCCCAGCCCCTGGTAAATGGCATTCTACTGGGTATAACTTAAGAATCTGACAGCTTTTTCACTTCACATAATGTCTTATGTTGTGGTCTTTTTAAAAAAATCTTTAATATTATTATTGTTTATTTTTATGTGGTGCAGAGGATCGAACCCAGAGCCTCGCGTGTGCGAGGCAAGCGCTGTAGCTACCACTGAGCTACCACCTTAGCCCCTTATGCTGTGGTCTTTTAAAAAATATAAATACTTATTTAGAAATGAAAAAAGTACCTATTTTAATGGATATAAAGAGATGGGGAACTCAGATTTTTAAAACAAATAGCATTGTAAAAGAAAATGTGTATGTATAGTTACAGTAAAAGAACTAATAAAAGATACATTTTAAAAATAGAGCTAATGTGATGCTGGATGCAGTATACTTGTAATCCTTGCTGAGCCAAGAGGATCAAAAGTTTGAAACTATCCTGGGCAGTTTAGCAAGACCTTGTCTCAAAATAAAATTTCAAGAAAGAGGTTGGAGGTATAGTTCAGTGGTAGAGCACCCCCCCGTGTGTTCAGTTTCTAGAACCAAAAAAAGCCCTGAGCAAACAAACCAGCTAATATGAGATGTGTAGTGTTCATTATCATCAGATGAATTGTTTTCATCTTCCTGTTCACTGTTGACTTACTCTAGCTCAAAAAGTTTCAAATTTCTGCTCACCATCTATTCATATGGTCATATTTATCTCTTTGGAGTTCTAAATGTCACCAGTTCCTGAATGTGCATTTTATTCAGAAGATTTGGGAAATTTTCTTCTATTATTGCACTGAATGTTTTTTTTTTCTTTTAAAGAATTTTACCTTTGTTTTATTTGTTTTTATGTGGTGCTAAGGATTGAACCCAGTGCCTCACGTGCTAGGCAAGTGCTGTACCACTGAGCTGTGTGGGTTTTCTGTGCCACTGGCTTGTATCTCTACTTTTTCCTCAAGATCTGTGGGTCTTAAATTTGATTTTCTATTGTCCCAGAGACTGTATATTTTGTTCAACAAAGCCCTGGTGGGGAGAAGTTGGGAAATCTTTTCTGTAGATTTCAGTTTTTTAGCATTCTGGTTTTAGGTTTGGTGGATGCTTAGAGGTATATACTAAACTTGTGGTTATATTCTGAGAGTTTTTTTTCTTTTTCTTTTGCAGTTTTTGGGAATCAAACCCAGGGCCTTGTGCATGCTAGGCGAGCATTCTCCCACTGAGTTATACCTCTAGTTAAATTGTGAGAGTTTTACTTAATAGTCATGAGGATGTTAGGTTGGATACAAAGGTTGAAAGTGAATGGCTATTAAAGGGACTAAGATAATTTTGGCTCTTGACCCCCAACAGTCCATCTCTTCACAATCATGATATCCTCAGCCAAGGTCAAGCAGTCTGCAGAATTTTTACTCTAGGTGCTACTCTTCAGAGAACTTCAGTTCCACATCATCATAAACAATTTGTGTTGGGGGTGTTGCCCCAGTCTCATAATTTTTTTTTATAATTTTGAAATCAGAAGCCAGAAAGCTTCACATTGCATTTGATTGATATGTCTTTTCAATTTTAATATCTTAGTTGCCTCTTTTTATTTTTTCCTTTGCAATTTATTTGTTGTAAGAAATTGAGTCATTTGTTCTATGCAGTTTGCCTTCTTCTGGTTTTGGCTGAATATATCATTGTGATAAAATTTACCATGTTTCTTAGTTCTCTGTATTTTCTACAAATCAGTAGGTAGACTTCCATATACTTGATTGGATTTATTTCTAATTTGGGGGGAGGCATGATTCCTAAGTGATGATGTGTATTTCTGTTTACCATTACATTAGGAGGATGTCATTTGTTAAAATTGGTCAGTTACTTTAGGTGGTATCAGTCTAATTTGTCATGGGACACTTGAGACAGAAGTTTCATTGAGTCCTAGAGTTTGAGGTCAGCCTGGGCAATATGGCAAAACCACATTTCAAAGCAACAACAAAAATAAGTGAATTTTTTAAAAAAGAAAAAAATCCCTGTTTGTCCAATCATATCTCTGAACAAGGGTACAAATATGTGAGGTGCTTCTAGTTGAAAGTTATTGCCCTGTTAATATTGAAAGTATATTGAATTATTTAGTAATGTTGCAGAGGAGAGATTGAAAATTGTATTGGGAAGATAATTTATAATAAGAAGATTGTCTCTTGAACTTGGAATCAATCTTATGTTTGGTAGGTTAGGTTTATTCAATACACTTTTCAGTTTACAATATTTTGAACTTATAATTGGTTTATCAGAATGTAATCCTATCTGAATCGAGGGGCATCTATGAATTAGGTCTGTTTGAAAATCATCTGGGAATAGTGGGGACTGATAAACTGGAGAGTATGTGTCCCAGTTTATTTTTCCAAGAAGAAATAAAAGGATAATGTTTCTTGGCTTTCCATTTTAAAAAGAAAATGTAAATCCAGATAATTTCATTTAGCTTTTAAATATTGACAATTAATTCAAAAATTTTTAAAGTCCTACTTTAGCCAAATAATTTCTTTCATAGCTTGTTAGTTTGTGACCTCTTGTGAAGATTTGAAGATTTTTCAGACTTCAGATAACTTAAAATACTGGGGAAAAAGTATAAGGAAGGGGACTTGACTTGGTTTTATTAATCATCATGCATTTATTTGTATAGCTTTTTTTGGAGCCTTAAAAAGTTCAGATAGCTCATAACGTTGCTTTTTTTTTTCTTTTGCAAATTCAAAATAGGAACTGACAACGTCTCAGAAAAGTGGTGGGAATGTTCTTCAGATGATGTATGAGAAGCCTGAACGATGGTCTTTTACCTTTCAATCATATGCCTGTCTCAGTCGGATACGAGCTCAGCTTGCCTCTCTCAATGGCAAGCTCAAAGATGCAGAGAAACCTGTATTGTTTTTTGAACGATCTGTGTACAGTGACAGGTATATATAAATGGTTTATACTTGGTTATCTGGAAACTTGGCTTAGAGTTGGACATTTTTTTTTCCTCCTGTTTCCTGTGAATTAAAGTAATAATAGAGGCTGAGTTGAGGAATTAAGATACATAATGGCATTTAATCTCCTCAGCATTCTGGTATTAACATCATTGAGAAGTTTTAGCATTTATAATTTCTGGCTTCTGTGGAATTGGTAGGGAATAGTAGCTATTTAATCCAGATTTGTAGAGAAGTTTTAAAATTCTCATCTGTTCTGGTTAAATCTGGTTCTATATCCTGTGTCTCACCTGAACCAGTGAGATAAAAATTTCCAAGGGAGTTTTAGAATTTTCCTGCTTATGTCAGATTCTTTGAATCTCCAAATTAATTCAGAATAGTTTCCAAAACTTTTTGGTTTCAGGACCCCTTTCTATCCTTAATGATTATCCTTGTATCCAAAGTGCTTTGTATCTTACTGATGTGTATATCTTGTTATAAATTTAGATTGAGAAATATTTTAAAATTATTTATTCATTTAAAATTAGCAATAAACCCATTTCATATTAACATAGATAACATTTTAATTAAACATTATATTTTTCTAAACAAAAAGTAGTGAAAAAATAGCAGTGCTTTACACTTTTGCATGTTTTTTTCTGACTTAATAGAAAAATTTGAATCTTCATTTGTGCTTCTGTATTCAGTATGTTATATCTTCTTTTGGTTGAGATGTAGTAGTATGTGAAGTAATCTGGCCTCTCATAGAACTTCTTGAAGAATCTTTGAGACTTCCAGTGGTCCTCACATGATATTGGGAGAACTGCTGACCAAGAACATGTAGCCTATAGTTGAAGAAACTCATGGTTTTTTTGTTTTTTTTTTGTTTTTTTTTTCTGTTATCTGAGGCACTATCTGCCACAGGATTTAGGAGAATATTTCATATTCATTTAATAGATTTATTTTCTATTTCTTTGTGAGTTTTTAAAAAAATGACGTGTATTGATGAAGCCTCTCTTTTAGGTATATTTTTGCATCTAATTTGTATGAATCTGACTGCATGAATGAAACAGAGTGGGCAATATATCAAGACTGGCATGACTGGATGAATAACCAGTTTGGCCAAAGCCTTGAATTGGATGGAATCATTTATCTTCGAGCTACTCCAGAGGTGAGAACCAATAAAAATTCACTTGCTCCATTGAAAATTTAAAGTAGTATTTAGAAATCTTTTCAGTGGTGTTGTTGAAGGCAATTTAATTCAACTCCAGCCCTCCATGTCTTCATCTCCAAACTCACAACTTTATTGATAGAATTGTTCTGTTTTCTTGGCAGAGTAGAAGCAAGACTTGTCAAGTAGCACTTTTAGAACCTGCTCAGTTCTCTTTTATTTTTCATCTTTATTTCTTCCTAACTTGCAGACTTTCTCATCCCATTTTACTGAAGTAACTTCTACAATATAGGCTGCATATGAGGTAGGACTTAGGATATTTTAATTACCGTACAATTTCCAATGCCTAGGATAGGGTCTGGGTATACAGTAGGAGATAAGTAAATATTTGCTGAATGGATGGCAAAGTTGGAGGTTCATTTCAAGGAAAATCTTTTATAATTATAACTTGAATGAGTAGATAGTAACCATTAAGTTGAAAAGAGACTTAGTTAAAGGAGCTCCCTTGAAAATATGCCCTTTATGATAAATTATAACTGCAATAGCTGTTCTGTTTACATCATAATATATTATTATTGATCCAGGAAGATCAAGTAGATGCTTTTCATGAAATCAACCTAAATAATAGGATCTTACATTTAACAGGAAGCTTTCTGGGTTTGACACTTGCATTCTCATTGTCTCTCTGTTTTTTAAATTTCTACTTCTTGGGTAAGTCAAAAGATCTAGGTTTCTGATTACAGTAGATTATTTTGTTCCTTTTTTTAAATGTCAAATAAGCCAGGATTCAGCAGTTATAATAATATTGAAATTCACTTTTATTTTTGAGAAGAATCTTTTTGAATACGAATGTTAAAAAAGAGCATAAAGAATACTAATGAAGCTAGCCAATCCCTAAAAAACAAATACCAAATGTCTTCTTTGATATAATGAGAACAACTAAGAACAGAGCAGGGAGGAAGAGCAGGAAGAAAAGATCAACATTAAACAGATACACTAGGTGGGAGGGAAAGGGAGAAAAAAGGGAAATTGCATGGTAATGGAGGGAGACCCTCATTGTTATACAAAATTACACATAAGAGGTTGTGAGGGGAACGGGAAAATAAACAAGGAGAGAAATGAAATACAGTAGATGGGGTAGAGAGAGAAGAGGGGAGGGGAGGGGAGGGGGATAGTAGAGGATAGGAAAGATAGCAGAATACAACAGTTACTAATAGGGCATTATGTAAAAATGTGGATATGTAACAGATGTGATTCTGCAATCTGTATTTGGGGTAAAAATGGGAGTTCATAACCAACTTGAATCTAATGTATGAAACATGATATGTCAAGAGCTTTGTAATGCTTTGAACAACCAATAAAAAAATAAAATAAAATAAAAAAATAAATTTCCATCCTTTCAAAAAAAAAGAATACTAATGATTTTAGACCTCTGGAAACAGTTTCTTAAAGACTAACACAAAACTACTGTTTTATCTCATCAGTATTTTTTTAAAATATTTTTTAGATGTAGATGGACACAATACCTTTATTTATTTTTATGTGGTGCTGAGGATCAAACCCAGTGCCTCATACATGCAAGGCTCACGCTCTACCACAGAGCCACAACTCCAACCTCTCATCAGTATTGTTTATGATATAGTTTGACTAAATGTTTAATTATTGAAAAAGAGAATTTATAATAGACTTTGAAAGACAGTTTTTATGCTGCTATAGGCTTATGCATGTTATTTAGGTTGAAGGTTTCCCCTCCCCCCTCTGTCTGTCCATCCATCTATTCCTTCTTTCGTTTCTTCCTTCCTTCCTTTTTGTGGTGCTAGGGATCAAACCCAGAACCTTCTGCATGCTGCACAGATGATTTACCACTGGGCTAGGGAGTTTGGAGGTTCTTATGTCTTTGGATACATGATAAATTTCTGAGGATTTATGAATCCCCACAAATTATGTGAATTTTTGTATGTATGTATGTTTTCAGGGGAAAATGATCTAGAGCCATACTTATAATGTGACTATTTAAATTATGGCTCTTAAAATTAAATAAAATTTTAAAATTAAGTTTTTTTTTTTTATCACTACACTAGCCATGTTTCAAGTGCTTAAAAGCCATAAGTGGCTAGTAGCTACTTTATTCAATAATGCAGATATAGAACAGGCACAAAACATCCTATGTTCTTTTCAGTTGTGGTGATCTAGAGTTATCATCACGTTAAGAACCACTGCCTTTGGTGATTTTATATTAACTGAACACAGATGTTCAAGTTCGATTAACAAAAATGTAGGATTGAAAGATTGCTGGACCTTTTAGCTGTTCTATAAAAATTTTAAGTAGATGTTTAATAAATTTTTCTCCCTCTTTTTAACAAACTTACATTGGTTAGTATATTTCATATGTGGAGAGTGAAAACTAAAGAGTTATTTTGACTTATTTTTGAAAGTACTATTTCGTATAGTGCTATCAAATGGCTGAAAAGCCATATGGAAGGAAAAGTGAACTACTTCAACTTTCTAGAAGAAAGAGAATTTGGCTAGCATAACTTAAGAGGCACAGAAAAGAAATTTTGATGGCAACAGAAAAAATAATTTCCTTGTCTTTTTTTCTTATTGCTTGCTTTTAGAAATGCTTAAGTAGAATATATTTACGAGGAAGAACTGAAGAGCAAGACATTCCTCTTGAATATTTAGAGAAGCTTCATTATAAACATGAAAGTTGGCTCCTGCATAGAACACTGAAGTAAGACTTCCTTATTCTTATTTATTATTCATTTTGAATAAATACCTAAATCAAATTTTAATCTAAAATTCAGAAGATATGAATAGCAACTTGTAAAGTTTTTCATTTTTAATCATTTGTTTACTGATATCTTCTAGAATTAGTTTGGATTTTGATTCTCTTGATTGTAATAAGATCTCATGTCCTTGAAGTTTTTTTTTTTTTTTTTTTTTTTGTGGTGCTAGGGATTGAACCCAGAGCCTTGTACATTCGAGGCAAGCACTCTACCAACTGAGCTATAAAGGCAAGCATTCTACTAACTGAGCTATATCCCCAGCCCTCTTTGAGGTTTTATAACTAGTGTCACCTAGTTACAAAATTACATTTCATTCAATTGCTTAAGAATTTATCTCTTTGTGCCTTACGTAGGTACTCTCTTTTAGAAATAATTTTTAAGATGCAGCAAGCAGTCCCCCCCTATCTGATATTTTGCTTTCTACAGTTTCAGTTATCTAGCATATTAAATGGGAAATTTCAGAAATAAATAATTCAGAAGTTTAAAATTGCTCGCCAAGCCAGGTGTGCAAGTAAGTTCCAGCTATTCAGAGGCTGAGGCAGGAGAATTGTTTAAGCCCAGAAGTTTGACACCAATCTGAGCAACATAGTGAAACTCAGTATCAAAAATTAAAATATTGAAAGGCAGCAGAATACAACAGACACTAGTATGGCAATATGTAAATCAATGGAAGTATAACTGATGTGATTCTGTAATCTGTATACAGGGTAAAAATGGGAGTTCATAACCCACTTAAATCAAAGTGTGAAATATGATGTATCAAGAACTATGTAATGTTTTGAACAACCAACAATAAAAAAAATTAAAATATTGTTTACCATCCTGAGTAGTGTTATGAAATCTTGTTCTGTCTTGCCCTGTCCCATCTCATCTGGTACAGCACAGACCTGAGTCATCCCTTAAGACCTGCCTGATAGTCATTTAATTGCCATCTCTGTTATTAAATCACCTGTCATAGTATCATGGTACTTGTGATCAAGTTACCCTTGTTTTACTTACTAATGGCCCTAGACTCCAGGAGTTTTGAATGATACTTGAATTTGAGATATGCCAAAGAAAAGCCATTAAGAGCTTCCTTTAAGTGGAAAAATGAAAATTTTCAATTTAATGAGGAAAGAGGGTTTAAAAAAAATCCACTTTTAAGATAGAAAAAGCAGGGGCTGTGGTTATAGGTCAGTGGTAGCATGTGTGAGGTGCTGGATCCTCACATCATATAAAAATAAATAAATAAAGGTATTTTAAAGAGAAAAATCATTAAATTTGTATATGCAAGTATAAGAAAAAAAACATAGTATGTAGGATTTGTATATCTGTATTTTTAGGAATTTAGTGGAAGACTTGGAATGTGTCCTTAATCGAATGGGAGGACTAATGTAATATTTTTCAAGTTTGTTTCATGAAACATGACTTAAGAGGTAATAAAGCATAGTTGTTAAGTTAAATACATAGACTTTGTCCTTACTCAGCTTTTGGCTTAAGTCTAGTCTCACTTATTGGTACATAACCTTAGATAGTCTTTGAGTCTCAGAAAGACTTCTATGAGTTTTCCTTTTTTTTTTTTTTTTGGCAGTTCTAGGGATCAAACCAAGGATGTTACATATGCTATGCAAGTGCTCTACCTCTAAAAGCCACATCCACAGCCCTTTTTAAATGTTGAGACAGGGTCTCACTAAGTTGCTTAGGTCTTTGCTAAATTGCTGAGGTTGGCTTTGAACTTGTAATCCTCCTGCCTCCGCCTCCTGAGCCACTGGGATTACTGGCATGTGCCACTACACCCAGCTTAAGATGAAAAAATTTCTAATTTATCCTATTTTCTGTTTCAGAATCATATGTCACAGTGCCTGTATGTTCTTATATCTTAATTCTTTCTTTACCTACAGTAAGTCTACATGAGAAGAAAGAGGCTACTGGTTTTATTACTTGCATGATAATTTTAGTGTAAAATGTTGATAGCATTTTGATTTTTCATTGATAAAGTGCTGCAGATATAGCTCAATGGTAGAGCACTTGCTTACCATATGCAAAGCCCTGGTTGGATACTACCAAAAAAATGCATTTAAAAATTTTCTCTTTAATTCCTTTTTTAACTTTGTTCATCTCTCTCCTTTTAAACAGAACAAATTTTGATTATCTACAAGAGGTGCCTATCTTAACACTGGATGTTAATGAAGACTTTAAGGACAAACATGAAAGTCTGGTTGAAAAGGTAGATTTAGACAAAAACTATACACTAATATTTGTTTGCCTTACTTAAAACAGTAGTAAAAACTTCAGAAACTTTTCGAACAGGAAGCTTATATAAAGTTGCCTTAAGAGTCAGCTTTAGAGGGCTGTAGACTATTTAGATTTAAATCCTGACTAAATTCTAGTTTTGTAGCCTGAAGAATCTTGTTTGTCTTTTTCTTTCTTTATACGACAGGGATAATTGCAGTGATATGTTCTTTCTCACCTCCTTCCCTGCTTCTTTCCCTTTTGTTCCCCTTTATTCACACCACCAATATTTAGGTGAATTAATAATAAACTGCTTATAAAATTAAACTTTTTTCAACTAAATTCAATATGGAGGATATTTACAGTGGAAGGATATGGATTTCATTTTTAGCTGAAGTTTTGAGATTAAGAGATTAGTTTGAGTTTTGATGGAACCATGTTAAGGGTGAACTGACATTGCCTAAGGTAATAACAATAATAATTGTTATTATTATCTTATTCAAAATTATTTTTTTTCCTCTGATAATTGGAAATTGATCATATTAAGTGAGTGGTGCCATATTGATAAAGGAATGGGGAGAGAATTGTCAATAAACATTTGAGCCAATAGTAGGGGTAATTATATAGGAAATATTCCTATACCCACATGAATAATCTTGGTGATCTGAGGTCTAAAGAGAAACCACAATTTTTTTGTTGTTTAGTTTTGGGAGTATCTTTGACTTTTTTCTTTCTCCTGTCACAGAATGTCAGCTGTTTATTATAAATAGGGATTTGATATTTTTAAGGGAGTATATAGTTGTTATATGTTTTCCCCATTTATATGATGTAAAACATATCTGTAAAATTTAAGTGACTTTTTCTTACTATTAGTGATGTCAAAAATATAGGATAAAATTCATTTCTGATAATATTAAAATTGTCATTGTACTAATAGCTAAACATCAATATTATTGAGTCTGTAAATCTACTTGTTAATTTTATCTAACTCTTTGTTTTGACTAGAATCATTTTATATTATTATTTATATTTATTTTTATTAATATTATTAACAGTTGTATTTCTTTTTTTAGGTATGTTTACAAGGCAATAACCTCTGTCTTTTCAGGAGAATTTTTGTATAGTCTAGAATACGTAGAGATTGAGAGTCCTGCATTGTGGTGTTGTTCAATTAGCTAGGTTCAACTCAGAACTTATATAACTTTCTCAGTACACTAACATTGCATAGTATGACAGAAATTTGTGCTTAAGAAATATTACTTATCTACTCCTTGTCTGATTTTCAAAGCTTGTTTAAACTATTGTGATTATTATTAAAGCTACACACATTGCTGTTCTTTGGTATTTGAATAAAGGGATAAAACTAGTGTTATGGCTATTTTAGAACTGCATCAATCTTAGATATAAATTAAGTAGTTCCTATAATGATCTTTTAGGTCATTGATCTTTTACTACAGAACTATTTAACAATATTTCTTGGGGAAATAAATGGTATGGTATTGTAATAAAGTTACTAATATATTTGGGGTCTTCAGCTTTTACATATACTTTAATGAAGACAAATATTAGATATTTCAAATTAGTTAAAAAATTATGTTAATATTTTTTTTCTTCCCTCAGGTCAAAGAATTTTTGAGTAGTTTGTGATCTTGCCGAAGACTCGAGATAGCCCATTGTTTCCAAATACTTCAGCTTTATGTGTCTTCATAGCTCAATATTCATAAGTCTCAAGTTTTTAACCTTTTTTTTTCTTCAAGAAAAAGTGTTTTTGTATGTTTTATGAATCCTATGTAAAACTTTCTCTCCCTTCCTCCCTTCCTTTCTTCAATAGTTCAAAAATCAAAGATGTTTAATTATCTCTTATAACAGGAAGTCTGGAGGTAGATGGTTCCAAAATCTGAATAGTGGTTCAACTATATTATAAAAGACCTAGCCTCTTGTCCCTCTGTCATCTTCCACAGGTTAACATTTTCCCATAGTGTTTTTCACCTCAGGGTTGACCAGTTTCTTAACTGGAAGCATTAATGTTACAGAGTAAATCATGTGTAAATTAGTGTACCTATTAAAAGTTGAAAAACAGAATTTCAGAATTCCTGGAATAAGGATTCTGAAGTGAGTTTTGTTTTGTTTTAATTTTTGTTTGTTTATATTGTTTTATTTCTAGAGGTGCTAGGGGTCAAACTAAGGATTTCATGCATTTTAGGCAAGTGCTCTACAGAGTTGTACATCTAGCTCCTGAAGTTTTATTTGGAATATTTTTGATCAGCTGCCTCGCTTTCCATCCTAATTTATGTTAAAGATAAAACTAAGTTTAGTATTTAATCACTTGATATTTATCAATGTATCTATAATACATTTATAGGGAAGCAAGTTAGACCTGATTCCCAGTTTGGTAATGACGTAACCTATTTATTTTATAAATCATTTCACCTTTTACCTTTGTTTCTGCATCTGTGATCCATTTTTTTTTAACATGGGATTTTAGATGATTGAGGAGAAAAAATTTTTGTATCTTTAAAAGATAGCTGAAAAGTTATTACCTGAGTATAAAGATTCAGTTTACCAGGAGTTTAAAATAGCTACCTGCTTTTCCCTTCTCAGACTATTGTTTTAGAAATGACAATTCTTATTACAATTAAGAGATTTACTTAAACTGTGTTTTTCCTTAAATCATTGTAGGTGGAAGAAAAACTATGTTTTTCTTAAATTTCTTTTCATTTTTATATCTTTTGTTGTGTGTATGTGTGGGTGGTGCTAGGGATTGAACCCAGGGCCGTATTCACACTAGGCAAGTACCCTACCACTAGGGTACACTCCTCTTTTCATTTTTGTAGGAAATATTAGTAGAACATAGTGAATAATAAGTTTTTCTATTTTATTCTGTATTGTTCCTGCAGTGGAAATGAATAATTTTTGTCTATCTGCTTGGTGAGTATTCAAACAAGAAACTGAAGCCAAATTGGAGTATCTTAGCAGTTTTGTCTGTTTAACCTCACCTCTTATATCTTGCCTCATTCTTCTTTCCCTACTCTCTGAATTAATTAGGCAGCATGTAGTTTCAGTTTTAAATAAATCATGTATTTCTACTTTGAAAACATTATTATTGCTTTTTGCTCCACAGTTTGCTTTGCTTTGTAGAATTTTGACCTAAATTTTTTGTACCTTTCAGAGAAATCACAAATAAAAATGATTTTGGTTTATATGTAATATATCATGAAATCATTATCATTTTTTAATTTAAATAAGGAATAAAATTAACAAAACTTCCTTAATAAGGCAAACTTCTCTCTAAACTACTTATGTGAGTAGTTGTAAAACTTTGCATGTTTTCATCTTAGGTCTGTATATAAATAAAGAGGTTTTATTCCCCCCTAGATATTTAAGTTAAGGTATGCGTGTTTTTTCCCATGTAATTAACCTTTCTATTTTATACTTTAGAAAAATTGTACATTTTTTTGAAATGAGAGGAAGAGATACTTATTTTAAAATTGTAGTTTTCTTTTTATGTCACTTTTTGCTTTTGGTTTCTTGTTAAAAGGTGATAATTCAGTGGATTAACCAATCCTGATGCACTGATCTTTGATTAGGGGACTTGATTTCAAATCAGTAATAAACATAATAATTAAATTATATCATGATATGTGTGAGCTTTTTGGTTGTTTGGTATAAATGAATTTGTCTATTTACTTATATGTCAATAAGTAAGTTTGAATTTCACAGACTGCTGAAGGTAAACTCATTAAAATGATTACATGTTTTTTTTAGAATTTACATTCTACTTTTGAATAAAAAATTATGAATTTAAAAAGTTTAAAGTGGTCTGTAAATTACATTGATTTTATTATGAAGCTTATAATTCAGTGTTCTTCGCTGACCTTTAAAAATGTTTAGTAATTTTTAATTTGTGGAATTGAAAAGATGCTAATAAAAAATTTGTTATTTCTTTGTCCTAGTGTGATAGGTTATTAAGAATTAAGCATAAATAAAGATTATATCTCTTTTTTTTTTTTTTTTAAATATTTATTTATTTTTTAGTTTTTGGCGGACACAACATCATAGTTTGTATGTGGTGCTGAGGATCGAACCCGGGCCGCACGCATGCCAGGCAAGTGCGCTACTGCTTGAGCCACATCCCCAGCCCAAGATTATATCTCTTAAAAAAAAGGAATTGAGCCTAGTAGTCTGAATTATTTCTTGAATCGAATCTTATCTTCCATTAGAATATATGTATTACTTTTTTAGAAAAATAAATTTTTAGTTGTAGATGGACACAATAACTTTTTTTTTCATTTTTTATGTGGTGCTGAGGATCAAACCCAGTGTCTCACATGTGCTAGGCAAGTGCTCTGCTGAGCCACAACCCCAGTCTATGTATTTTAATAACTTTCTCTTCCATGAAGGTAACATATAAGACTTGTTTTCTTCATCCAGAATTTTCTCTTCTGCTATGCCTGAAGCTTAGAACATTATATCCTGAGCCACCTAGATATTTTAGGTGTCATATTTTAAAGAACAGAGTTCCAAAATGTTTTTAAAATGGAGATATAAATTTTATTACCTCCAGAAAATTGCTAGCTAAATTAAAATATTAAAGGGTTTATAAATTTTGGGGATGAGGGTGTAGCTCAGTGGGAGACCACATGCTTAGCATGTGCGAAGCCCTGGGTACAATCCTCAGCACCAAAAAGAAAAAGTTGACAAATCTTAGTAAATAATAATCTTCACATAACAAAATTTTCTCTCTTTTAAAAATTTCTTTGAAAGAATTTTAGAGTCACAAAAGTTGCAGAAATATAGTTTTTGTGTACCAATCATTGAGCTTCCTCCAATGATGACACTTTATTTAACCACTGTATATTAAAAAGACAAATTAATTTTGGTGCACTATAAACTACAGACCTAGTTTGGATTTTACCTTTTTAAAAAACTCTGTACATGTGGTAAATGGGAGTTCATAACCCACTTGAATCAAAAGTATGAAATATGATATGTCAAGAGCATTGTAATATTTTGAGCAACCAATAAAATATAAATAAAATTTAAAAATCAGTAAACATTAAAAAATAAAATTTTTAAAGAACAGTTTTAGGTTCATAGCAAAATTGAGCAGAAAATGAGAGTTCTCAGATACTCCCTTTACCCTTTACAATTCGCCCCCACTATCAACATCTACCAGAGTTGGTATATTGATTATAACTGATGCACCTACTTTGATAGATCATTTTCATCCAAAGTCCATAGTTTATATTAGGGTTAATATTTTTAAATTGGTAGTTGTAGATGGACAGAATGCCTTTATTTTATTTATTTTTATGTGGTGCTAAGGATCGAACCTAGTGCCTCAAACATGCTAGGCAAGCACTCTGCCACTGAGCTATATAACCCCAGCCCTAGGGTTCATTTTGGTCGAATATATTCTATGGGTTTGATAAACATGTATCTACCATTACTTCACTGCCCTAAAAAAAAAAAAAAAAACAACCTCTTATCTGTTCATTCCACCCAACCCTGATAAACACTAATCTTTTTACTGTTTCCATAGTTTTACCTTTTCTAGAAGTTGGAATCATATGATATGTAGCCTTTTCAGGTTGGCTTCATTCATTTAGTAATATATATTTAAGTTTTCTCTGTCTTTTCATATCTTGATAGCTCATTTCTTTTTAGGGCTGAGTAATCTTCCCTTGTCTGGATATATCAAATTATCCACTTACCTATTGAAGGACATCTTTGTTGTTTCCAAATTTTGGCAGTTTGGGATAATGTTGCTATAAACACCAATTTGTGGATTTTTGTGTGGGCATCAGTTTTCAGTTCCTTTAGGTAAATATCCAGGAGCCCAATTGCTTGATTGCATGGTAAAGATATTTTTAGTTTATTGTTTTATAAGAAACTGCCAAACCATCTTCCAAACTGGTTATCCTGTCTTGAGTTTTCACTAGCAATGAATTTGAGTACCTGCTCCTCCACATCCTTTTCAGCTTTTGCCCTCATCAGTGGGTTTTGTGGGGTTTTTTTTCTTCTTTTCCTTCTCTCTTTTCTCTCTCCCCGCTTCCTCTGCTTCCTTCCTTCCTTTCTTTTTCAGTGTTGGAGATTGAACCCTCATGGACACTAGGCAAGTGCTCTCCTACTGACCTTTACTCCAACCTGGATTTTGGCTATTTTTATGGGTCTGGATATTATCTTAAGATGTTGAGCATCTTTTCACGTTCTTACTTGCCAGTTGTATGTCTTTTTTGGTGAGGTGTCTATTTAGGTCTGTTTGCCCATTTATTAATTAGATTCATTTTCTGATTGTTGACTTTTAAAAGTATAAGTTTTAGATAATATACCTTTATCAGATTTTTTTTGGAAGCATTTTTTTTACCTGTTCTTGCCACAGTCCGGCTGCTGCAAAATAACCGGGGGATAACGAACAACTTGTGTGCATTGATACAGCAGGAGTGGGAGCCCTTTATTGTAGGACAGGAGGGGTATATATACATTCCACACAGCTTATCTTAATTAACATAAACTAGATAACAGCAGTCAACCAATAAGGAATCTCCACACTTAATGGCTCGCTGGCATTACTTCACAAACCACTCCCTCTGGCAAAATGCCAGGCGCCATCCTGACTTGTTTACAGACCCTAACATTTGCCAGGCGCCATCCTGACTTGTTTACAGACCCTAACATGTTCTGTGATTTGTCTTCCCATTTTCCTGATGTTCTTGATGTTCTTTCACAGAACAGAGGTTCTTAATAAAGTCCTGTTTACGAGTTATTTCTTTCATAGATAGTGCTTTTGATGTTTTAAGTAAAAAGTTACTGTTCTACCTAATACCTAAGGTCATTGAGTTATCTTCTAGGAATTTTATAGATTTTAATTTTACATTTAATTCTTTGAGTTAATTTTTAAAATGTTATAATTTCTATGTCTAGGTTTTGTTTTCTTTTTTCTTTTTGTTTGTGGATGTCTGATCTGGGCACCATTTGTTGAAAAGATTGTCTGTTCCATTGTATTGCTTTTGCTCCTTTGTTGGAGATCAATTAACCTTATTTATATGGATCTCTTTCAGGGCTTGTCTTTCTATTCCATTGGTTTATTTATTTTATCTTTTGCCAACACCACACTGTTGTTTACTGTAGATGTACAGTAAGTCTTGAAGTGAATGCATAGTGTCAGTTTTCCAACTTTGTCTCAGTGTTGACTTGCCTATTCTGAGATTTTTGCTTTTCTGCATAAATTTTGAAATCAGTTTATCATTTGCAAAACAAGTTGCTGAGATTATTGATTAGAATTTTGTTGAATCCATACATCAGGTTGGGAAGTACTGCCATCTTTTTTTTTTTTTAAACATTTATTTATTTTTTTAGTTTTCAGCAGACACAACATCTTTGTTTGTATGTGGTGCTGAGGATCGAACCCGGGCCGCACGCATGCCAGGCGAGCACGCTACCACTTGAGCCACATCCCCAGCCCCACATCTTTTTTTTTTTTTTTTAATCTTTATTTTTTATGTGGTGCTGAGGATCAAGCCCCAGTCCCTCACACATGCCAGGTGAGCACTCTACCTCTGAGCCACAACCCCAGACCAGTACTGCCATCTTTACAATATTGATTCGTCCTGTCCACAAACATGGAATATCTCCATGTATTTAGTTCTTTGGCATCTTTCATAAGAATTTCATAGTTTTCTTTGGTATAGATCTTGTATATACATTGTTAGATTTATACTTAAGTATTTCATTTTTAAGGTGCTAAAGTATAGTATTCCACTTGTTCCACTTGTTCATTGTTGGTCTGTAGGCAAGCAGTTGACTTTTGGTGTATTAATCTTGTATCCTGCAGTCTTTTACTATATCACTTGTTTGTTTTAGGAACTTTTTGTTGTTTCTTTTGGCTTTTCCACTTAGATGCTTTCATCATCTGTGAACAGATATATTTTTATTTTTATTTAATTCTTTCCAATCTGTATACCTTTTATTTGTTTTTCTTGTTGCATTACATCAGCTAGGACTTCAGTATGATGTTGAAAAGTACAGTGGTGAGAGGAGACATTCTCGTATTGTTTTTTATCTTAATAGGACTACTTTGAGTTTGTTACCCTTAATATAATGTTTGCAGGTACTTCGTTTCTCCATTAAGTTGAGGAAGATTCCCATCTATTTCTATTTTGCTGAGTATTTTTGTTAAATCCTTGCATTTTTAAAAATAGCTTTATTTTATTCATATATATTGCTGAGAATCGAACCCAGGGCCTCACACCCCAGCTACTCATAGATTTTCAAATGTTGAATCAGCCTTGTATACCTGGGCTAATCCCATTTATCACAGTGTGTGACTCTTCATACATTGTTGGAATCAGTTTACATATATTTGGAAGATTTTTGTCTCTGTGTTCATGAGAGACATTGATCTAGTTTTCTTGTAAAGTCTTTGATTTTGATGTTAGGAAAATACTGGCTTCACTGAATAAATTAGGAAGTATTCCTTCCATTCCTGTCTTTTAAAAGAAATTGCAGAGAATTAGTATCATTTTCCCTTAAATGCGTAGTAGATTTCATGAATGAATCAGTCTGGGCCTGGTGCTTTGTTTTGGAAAATTGTTGACTCAATGGGAAAAACTGGATCTCCACATTCAGAAGAAAGAAA